CACAGTTCTATAACTATGACATCTATATGTATAATCTTTCTTTTTCTATCTTTGTATTGGTTATGATAATCAGCAAGTCAATTTTCTTTTTCTATTCTGTTCTTATTACTTATATAGACAGTATGACTAAACTGCATTAGTATTCCATAAACTAAAGTTATTTCTTTCTCGTTCTTTATCAAGACGACCGGTCCATCTTCATCAGTATACAGTTTATTTTGTGAAGAAGCACCGACGTGTACACATATAAAGAGCAAAGGACTCGATCGACAACATATTAATCATTTCAAATTTACTTGAAAAATTTCTTTGCATTACAAAGAACATGGTTAACTGTAGACAATTGTATGATAATGTTTTTTATTCGAGTTCGAACTGTATGTTAAACAGATTAGTTCAGTGTATTTTTTATCGTCCACGAATAATCCATAACATTATTATTATGATTTATTTCTGGAATTATTATGAGAATGTAACATTATTACACTTTATCATTATTGCCGCATGGTCACATTTTATTATTGAATTATTATTCTTCGTTAAAGAACGCAAATCATCGCTTCGATATAGATTGATCATACTTTCCTTACTTGTTTGTCATTTTGCTATACATTTGTTCGTTATCTTATTACGGTGGCGACAATTCACACTAAATCAATTTGGATTTAACGTATACGTCGCGTGCTGTGAATTTTACTACTTAATTGATATAATTTCGTTTATCATTCGATTTCAAGATGGTAGATATATACTCTTGTCGCTGTTCGGATGGAAACACGGCTGCAAAGTCATTTGGTTAACAGATATCGATATAGCCAAACAAGTATTACTTAGTTCTGTTGATAAGGGTTCGTTTCTTGAAGAAAAACTTTTTGCTCCAGCTTGGTTACCTGTTCTTTCACTTGAATCTGTTAATGGAAAGGCTTGGCAAGATTTAAAATCAAACTTTATAATTTTTCAAAAGCATCTTCCACCTGTAGAAAATCTCGTCGCTGCAGCGCGTCACATTTTATCAACACAAGATCCAAATATCGAGATTGATGCAAAAGAAGTTGTTCACATAACGGTAGCTTGTTTTATCAAATGGATCTTCAATTTAGATTGGGATGTTAAATGGAATTTTGTTTGTGAAGCATCGTGGGAATGGCGTAAAGAAATAGCCGCTAAAGGAAAAGGCAACACACAATTAAAACATAAAACAGTTGAATGGTTAATTAACTTGATAAATCATTCCGAATATTATCATTTATTTGGTGAACAATGGTCCAATCCAGAATATTATTCTATCATTATGCAACCATTTATTTTATCACCTATGATAAATTTTAGTGATATTGCAGTGTCAGCTTATCATCATCCAGGAATGTCCATTCAAGAATTTATTCATTATTATCATCCATTTCCAATAATGGAACGATATATCGAGAAAGATTTTATAAAACATAAAAATGGCGATCCTATTATCCTCATCAAAGCCAATACTCAAGTGTTTATTCCATTGGATACAATTGGACAACATGAAAAATACACATCCGGTTTATGGACACCATTTGGCATTGGACCGAGAAAATGCCAAGGTTCGCAGTATGCACTTCCTCTTCTTACTGAACTTATGACTTACTATGAAAATAATCCGCAGTTTATGCCTGAAAAGAACCATAAATATAGTGGAAGAAACAACGACCATTTATTATTTGGCGAATCAATCTATCAACTTATTCTGTTTATTAAAATATTTATTCGTAATTGATCGATACATGAATTTCATATAATATCATTATTTGTCATGTAAGAATCCCATACTGTCGATCAACCCTTCAACAATTAATTCAATAAACACTAAAAAGCATTGAAAATAATTATTCTACCTGATTGTAATTTTTAAAGAGAAGAAAATAAATAACCAAGTTCATTTTGAACATAAAGGAGATTATTGAACAAAACAAAAATAACACTAATTGAGTCGAATATATTATTAAATACGATAGATGCTTTGGGTGGGTATGGGTTGAAAAGAATATGTACACCCACATCTATCCTCACGCGGCATGAAATTAACATCAAGTTCTTTTAATAGTTCGTCAAAATTGTTTCCATTAACCTAAATTTATTGAGATTTATTTCATCCTAAGTAGGGTGTGGGTGTTGTTCAACTGTTTCAGCCACACCCACACCCACACCCACACCCTTCATGTTTGGCAAGAAATGTGTCCCTTGTATATGGAAAGTCTTGTCCAACTCACCTTAGGTGGACCAATGCATATATCCCATAGAGGACTGCAACATGCACGAGTACGATATTATGATGCCAAGAGGAAACGTCCTGGACTTCCGCAATCCATTGCTGCGCTAGTTAAAGAACTTAAAAATCATTCAGTCACTTTAAAACTGGTCAATATCGATTTGTTTTCACAGCGCATGCTTATTGTTCAAGCTGGTACATTTGGAGAGCATCGATTCAACGAAGTACATACCTTGAACGAAGTGGGAGATGCGATTGAAACTACGGTGATTAACCATAAATGGCTGGAAGTTGTACTTCCTGCGGGCACAGGAGCAACACTACAACTTACTATGGATCGTTATGTGAACTCACCTTCCTACGACATGCCTTGGTCAGATCGCGAGAAGAACATATATTTGCAAGGCAGAAATCTTGTTTGACAAAGCGAACTCATTTGATAATGCAACCGGAAATGAACTATTAACGTTTTTTTTTGCCGAATAGATTTAGTCGATTTTAAACTAATTCTTTTTTGAATCGGTGCTTTTAAAGAACTAATCTTAGAACATCGTTTTAGATTTATGAAAAAAACTTCCACATTATCCGGATTTTGAAACTGAAATTTTAACTGTTCAAGTTTAACATCTAGCAGTACTGAAATAATTATGAATTTTCTTTAAAATAAACTATTCTCTATTGATTTTAACCGCTTGAGAACGGGAGTGTTTATTTACATTCGGCTGTGATTGAATACAGCGCAACTTGTGTAGACTTTTTATCGTGCAGGTATAATTATGCATACTAAAGCAGGCGATGAATATGTCATCACTAACATAATGTATTCAATATTTGCATTTAATCCCGTTGTAATGAATATATATATATTCTTTTCAACTTTTGGAGAACTTTCATTTTCTCTCAAAACAATCTCGTCTCCAAACAGTTAAATCAATATTATAATATTAACTTTAGGTAAATATTAATTTTATTGATATGCTTCTTTCTTTATTATTTTAGCTGTACTTTTTGTAATGAAATTTACAATTTGCTGCAAGAAAATTAAATTTCTAATTAGGAACTTGCAGATTCAATTTTTGTGTGATAAATTGTAAATTGGATGCAGTACTAGTTTTTAGCACAAGAAGCATTTCTTACCGATTATTAATAGACTGTTATGAGATTGAGAAAACGGGAAGACACATTCTGAGATCAACAGAAAGAAGAAATGTATCACTATGCCACCATCTAACAAATCATAGGAAGTTTTTCTAAACTATCAAAACATGTACTAGTGTAGTCTTTGTCCGATTAATACATTTGTACACATACATGTGTTATTGAAAGTGACTTTTCGCTTGATTCTTCTTATTTTTATATTATGAATAACATAGAAAAAAACTTTTTATTACCAAAACATATATTGTTATATAACTATTTTATATGAAATGCTTCTTTAAAATTAAAGAATAAATTTTATTTAATAACAATTTCATTATCTAAAGTAACATTGATCTTCATGATGTGGGTGTGGGTGTGGTTAAAATAAAATACCTGCACCCTCACTCTCAGCAACACCCTCAAGACGACTGACGATAGACTGATTTATTTCCGCGTTCTACGTATTACTCGTTAAATGTTCTTTTTCCAAAAACGTAGATCTGTTTGTTTCGACATTACAGAGTTAGTTTTTTCTTATTTGGTTTGAGTGAGTTACGTGTCTGATCAAATGCAAATTAGTTAAAACATTTATTGGATAGAAATAAAAGCTTCTTTTTTAAAATTAAACAAACTAAACTGATGCATAGCAAAGCATAGAAAAAAGATATAAGCTAATATTGTATGAATGTTATTAATTATATAAACTTGTTTTCAGATAATCAAGATGGCCTATCTGTATATATTATGCATGTATTATCTTATTTGGATTACAAGTGCGAATGCATCACTTTCGACAATAGGCAATGTCTACTATAACATGAGCTATAATTCAACAGGCACCATAATCACTCGTCTGACCGTGAAATATCAAATAACTTGTGCTGCTCAATGTGCAAATCTATTTGCCAATTGCAATACTGCTGTATTTGATAGTTTAACTATTCCTCAATGTTCGTTATATAGTGGGCGAATAACACCAGCGAACCTTACCGTCTCGATGAATACAATAGTTTATGACTTTCAGCAGAGCAAATTAGCAGGTAGGAAACTTATTAACTTTGCTCTTAGCCTATTTTGTATTTCTTTTTCATTCATGAATAAATTACATATCATCATAGAGGTGAGCATCAAAAACAAAAAAACTGTATGGATGGGAGAAAGTATAGAAGTGAAAGTTAAAGTTATTGATATCAGGAAATTTTCATTATTAACTTCATTAAGAATAGACATATATATGACTAGAGTTTTCTGCAGATTACTATTATTTCTTCGGACTTATAATGCTGACGGTAAGAAAAGAGACATAGGCATATGTAATCTCTTCATCAAGATCCAAATTGGGGCATCAAGTTAACTCTCATAGCTTATAGGAGATTCTGAAAGGTAATAGTGAACTTTGACGGATCATATAAACAAATCTACTATATAAAATATGAAAGAAGATATACATTCATCAATTTTGTCACTAACAGTGAGGTGTACTATGTATGCTATAAGTTTCTTTTGTTCTTATAGCTACTCCGAGCTTGTATCGTTGGAATGTAACGGGTATCACTGTAGCTGGTGCGAGTAGTGGTTCTGGAGGCACAGCAGATAATCTGCTCTCTCGACCATATGGGACCGCATTAGGTTCATTCGACTCACTTTATATTGCCGATTTTAACAATCATCGCATACAAAAATGGTTAATCAATGAGTCAAATGGTACAACGGTGGCTGGTCTATCCAATGGCACTGCTGGTGCAAGCTCAATTGCTTTGAACTTGCCTACCAGTGTTGTGCTTGATTCTAATGATAATATGTATTTTACAGATAGAGATAACCATCGAGTTGTAGATTGGGCAAATGGTGCATCATCTGGCTCTACGATTGCCGGTATTACAGGTACGAAAAGATAGAAAATATATTTGTAAACTATCAATCTTCCTTTTATCACTTAAATTTTTATTTAATATCTTTTTCTGATCTATTAATTAAGAATTAGATGAAAAAATGGTCTACTGAGGATAATCTGCTACATAGAGAGAACATATACTTAATTATTAGTAATTCCTGTGGAAAATAATGTCATGTTATTGATTACTAAAATAACAGATCATTCAGAGCTTAAGAAATTCAAATAAATAATGAACATTCTTAGTATATTCTTATGAAGATTGAGCTTAGAACGACTAACAAAATATAAGAAAAAAATTGTTCTATACAATTCTAATTTAGGTATTGCGGGATCTACAAACAATACCTTCTATGGCCCGTGTGGTATAGCCCGTGACTCAAGCACAGGTACACTTTACATAGCCGATACATACAATCATCGGATAATGCAATATCTTTCGAATGCTTCTTCAGGTACAGTTGTTGCTGGTGGAAACGGTCTAGGAACTGGTATTACACAATTGGCGTATCCATATGGTTTTGCTTTTGATTCCTCCTAAAATAGTCTTTTAATTGCTAATGCTCAAACCAACAATATTGTTCGTTGGGTGTTAGGTGCAAGTAGCTGGACACTTGTGATTGGCAGTCCTACTGGATTAAGTGGTAACACATCGACACTTCTCAGTCAACCGATCGGCATCACATTAGATCCAATGGGCAATATCTATGTAGCTGATTCACAAAATCATCGCATTCAGTTCTTTTTTGCAGGCCAGTCCAATGGCACAACAATTGCTGGCGTCACAAGTTCACCTGGCATTAGTCAGCATAAATTAAATGCTCCCTGTTGGGTAATAGTTGATAATCAACTGAATTTATATGTATCCGATACTGCTAACAATCGGGTTCAATTTTTTTCACATTCATAAATATGAGTTTCATTCTTTATTACACATCCTTCTAAATTTAAAAAATATACCTTTTATTCTTTCGTTATTTCTTCATAACTTGAATACTTCATATGCGCCATTTCTTTATCATTTCAAATCTTTTATTATAATCAAATAAATATATTTTAATGATGAATCTAATACAATCGTTCACTCTTTTTCATATATCTTATTTTCTAACTTGATACTTGCTTTACTCAATCTTGAAGACAATGAAATGAAAGAAGCCTAAAATTTATTGGCTTGTGTAATATTCAATAAGGTGAACATTAAAGAATAATTCACAAATTTTTCAGAATTAGCATAAATATTCCATGTCAGTTCACAATTTAATTGTACACTAATTGAAAAAAGTCGAGAAACTGTAAGTTTATGTTGAGAAAATAAAAGTATTCCTATGCTCAAATTCACCCACCATTCTTGCAAACTTCTATACAAAAACTAAGTAATAATTAAAGTATTGAAGCAATGTAGATAATTTTATCAATGAATAAACATATTGATAGACAGCTTCTATTAAAAATCAATAATCAATTTATTTCCAAATAAAGGAAATTTTATATATTTAATTTATTTTTCTCAGTATAAGTGTATACGTCCTAAATGAATTAAAAATTAACATTGTTGAAATAACCCACTATGTTTTTTAATCAAAATATGATATACATTCAGAAAAATAGCAATCAAAATCAAGGGTTATGTATATTCATGTAACTTTTTGAAGAAAATAGAGAGAATAATATCAAGAAATCTGAAAAGTACATATTATTTACATTTTTTTCCAGTAAGTAAGTTTACTCAATAATAATCTTTGTTGTGAATCAAACACAAATAGTTTTCTGTGTTTAAATATAATTTCTCATTAATAATCAGCTAATCAAGTCAGTGTTATTATTAATCATTCTTTTCAATTAATCATCGAATAGAAAAAAATAATCATAATAAGATGAAATAAAACAGAGTATGAATTTGCCTTTTCTTTATTCACACCCTCAACACATGAAAAAAATTCGTATTCATCTAGTTTTTTCGCTACTTCCTCAATGTTGATAACGTCATTGCTCTTAGTTATTTTGTCTTGATTGGTAATTGCACATCAAACAGTAATGAGTCAGCTTAGAGAAAAACATACTGAAAAATGACAATTTATTTTTTTTTCATTTTGTTTTGTATACTTCACGCAATTTTTTTCGCATCATTGACTCTAAATGATGAAACCACGTATAAATGCGGTATCTGAAGTGCATAATTACACATGTAAAAAATATTAGACGACGTTTATTAATTGATTATTTATCAAAAAGAAATGTATTCAGATCGAAGACATCAACAACGTGAACTAATCGATCAAACCATGGCATCGTAAGTTCCGTCAAAGCAAACCATTTTGTCTTTAATCATTTCATAAATATGCATAGAAATGAAAATGAGAATCTTCCAGAAAAATTAAATCATCTCAACTATGGAATTCAAGTAGAAGTTTCTTATTGAATTAATCCTTATTTCATTAGTATTTTTCTAGATCTCAGAAACAAATAGCAATGGTGATGTTGAAGAAAGTCAAGTCTGTTTCTTTTTATTTTATAATGATTCTATATGATAAATTTAGATAGAGGAATCTTGTTTTGTTCGAATGAATTATCGAAATTCAATTTCACTCAAACAGATTGATGAATTGAAAATAGTACAACATAATGAAATAGTCTATAAAGGTTGTTTACAAGATGGAGGTGAGTTTTAAATTATAGATCTGTTCTCTCGATTAATTGATCATCAATAATTTCAGATTCATTTATATTTAAATCGAAACGAGATTCAAACGAATCAGCGTACAAATTATATATTTATCGTAATGATTTACTTGACAATGAGATGATCTCTTGTTGTGAATATGGTTTGATGCATTATGATCAATACAAATCATTTCAAATTGAACAAATTATTAAATCAAAACCATGTCAGAAGTAGGACGATGTATTTGAGAAGGATATATTCAATCTTTTTCTTTCTAGATGTCAATCAAAAGATGATACAGTACGAATATTTTTTTTATTTTATTTTGATCTTATTTTTTTTATTCATTTAGTTTCCATCATTGAGCGAAGTATCAAAAAGTAAGAATTAATTGTAATTAAATATCTTTTGAAATAAAATTATTATTTTAGAAAAAAACAATCAGCAATCAACAAAGGTTATTCATTTGTTTTATATTTTTGAAAAATCAGTGATTATTTTTGTCTTTCAGAGACAAAAATCAGTCTCTTTCTCGTCGAATTCTCCAGAAATTCGTAAATATGATAATGATTCTTTGGAAAATAATCAAGAATTCTTTCCGTTTAAACCATTTGAAGATGAAACGATCTTCTTCAATTCTATTAATGGAGATTCTTCATCGAAAAAAACGGATCGTAAGCAAAAATTTGACTAAAATTGTTTCTGAGAAACGAAATTGTCTTTCTACAGAACCTCCTCAAATATCACCAATGTCATCGTACAATGAACATTCTTTCCCATCAACTCCAATATCATCAGACACGACTCGTTACAATTTCTTCGGCTTATCCAATCCAGATAGAGACAGACAAAGTTTGAAAAGAATAAACAATGATTTTTTTTTCTAGATTCAATTTCAGGTAATAATCATCAACAATTTGAAAATGAAACTAATGAGAATGTTTCTCTGTCGAACAATATTTTCGAAACTTTAGGGAATCAATTATACAATCTCATGTGTAAGGAATATTCGATCTTTTGAAAGTAATTACGGACTTTGTTTCTTCTAGTTCAAGCTGGTGGAAATACAGAAACATCATCATCAGATACAATTCATCGAGAGAAAGGCAATGTTGAATGGTTTAATCTGATATATCTACATACTTCATCTCCTGATCCATCGATCGTACAAAAAATTCGTCGTTTGATAAATATCGTCATGATTTTCAATGATACCGATGATTGTTTTGCATGTATAAATAGTTTATCCAAACAAAGGATTGTTTTGATACTTTCTGATAACTTTTGTGATTCACTTCTTCCACGGATTAAAAATATTTTAAATATTTTATCTATTTATATCTTATCGGCAAATCCAGATAAGAATTTAACGTTTTCTTCTACTCACATTCGAGGTGTTTATCAATCGATTGATGATATTTATGAAATGATATCTGATGATGTTAATCCAATTAAATCTGATCTACTACTTATTCGACCAGTTTATGCAAGTGGAAGTACACTTGATACGGCATTTATTTTCTTTCATTTACTCTGTGATATTCTTCTTGATCGTAATGAAACTGAACATGCATTCAAAGAATTAGTTCATTTTGCTCGCCAAGAATACGAAGGAAATGAATATGAATTAGCACAAATTGAAGAGTTTGAAAAGAGTTATAAAAAGACTCGAGCAATATCATGGTTTTCTCGAAAATGTTTCCTATTAAAAGTAAAATAATCATTCATTTTCTATTGAAATCGATTTCATACAATCATTTATTTAGATGTTACATAGAGCTATACTTCTTCGTGAAGTCGATATATTATTTAAACTTCGTGTTTTTATTCGAGATTTAAAAACCGTACTTGAAAAAAGAACTATAATTGAACCGATTAGTGTTTACATAGGAAATATCATTGAACAATCAGAAATCGCTCCAATTGCCGCATCTAAAACAAACGAAAATTTACTAACGTTTCATCAATTTTTATTTGCTTCTACGGATCAATCACAAGCAATTGCAAGAGCAAAAAAACTTCCACGTTCTAGTGCAGAATTTTTGAATCTTCTCATTCGTATTGATTTCCCATCAGCAGCGAAATGTCTTACTCGACTTTCATCGTCGAATAACGATAATGATGGGATCAATATATTTATTAATGCTGGTATTGCAACAAGAATTATTGCCATCGAAAAAGATTATCAAGAAAAAGGTTATATTCTAATTCATTTACAATACGTTTCATATGCAAATGAAATTAATATTAAAACAGAAATGCACGTAGCACGTAATGAAATTGATAATTCTTCTCCATTATTTCGATTAGGAAGATTATTATTGAAAATTAATCGACAATCATTTTCCGAGCAATTCTTTTCAAATCTTGTTAATGAAGACTTTCTTATTAATGATACTGAACGACAAAAATGTCTATCACAATCTTTAGAATCATTAGGATTGATTCATTATCGAAATGAAAATTTCAAACGTGCTAGTGAATTACTTCTTCTTTGTTTAAAAGCTTATCATCGAATTTTACCTGTGTATAGTTCATATTTATACGAAACTTATCGTGATCTTGGTGAATCATTTTATCGTATGGATGAATATCAATTAGGTATTGATTATTATCAACAAGCACTTGATACTCAAATTCGTTCTGATAATCCTAAATCAATTTATGCAGCTTACTGTTACTATAAATTAGGTGTGATTTATTTTAAACAAGAAAATGATGAAAATGCGATTCAAGCTTTGGAACGCGCCGAGAAAATTCTTAAACAATCCGATGAAAAATATCGCCCAGAGCTGATTTCAGTCTATGAGACTTTAGGTGATAATTATAATCTCAAAGACAGGCACGATGATGCTATTATTTATTATAACAAAGTCATCGAAGTTTTACAATCTATTGAACCAAATGATTCCAAGAAACTTTGTGCAGTATATTTTGTTATCGGAAATCTTTATTCGAGAAAAGAAATATATCGCGATGCTATGATTTATTATACACATTCATACGATTATGCTAGAGAATTTTTACCAGAAAAACATTATACTTTTGTAATACTTCACAATAATATTGGTCGTGCGTATTATCAAGTAAAACAATATTTACCTGCATTGGATCATTATTCTCAAGGTCTTTTCTTAGCATCAGAAAGTTTACCCGGTGATAGTACTTTCATCAGTACGCTTTTATCGAATATAGCGTTGGTTCTTTCAGATATAGAAAGATTCGATGAAGCCATTGAATCAATGGAAAAATCTATTGAACAACTTCGAAAAACTCTTTCAGATAATGACGAAGAAGTGATTCAAAAACAAACATTACTGGATGCTATCAAACAAAAGAAGATTCTTTATGAAATTGTTGGCGAACCTTCTGAATATTTTTAACAAGGATTTGATTTATTTTTGGAGTTTTTTTGTTGAACTGTTTTTTATTTATATTCGAGATAGTTTATCGATTCTCAATAATTATAGTCAAGGAATAAAATAAGATTTCCATAATTATTACCTGTCTTTTAAATGTCAATCTTGAGGGTGTGAGCTTAATGCTCATAATTCGATGGTAGTGATCGTCAGCGTTTGGGCCGTGATTTGTGGCTAACAGTTAAAGAACGATTAAAATGATCAGTTTCATAACGTTGAGGGTGGGTGTTAACTACAACAAATATAATACCCATACCCACACCCACACCCACCCACACTCACACCCACACCCCACACCCACACCCAAGATAAAATAAAGTTATAATTTTTCCTATAAAGACATTTGAAGACATCAATAGTTGAATGAAGTAAGGAATTAACCTAAATTAATAGCACCTGTTGCTGCATACGCCTTTTGCCATGCTAATGCTGTGATATAATCTCGAACGGTTACTTTTCCAGAAATTTTACCATTATTTTTTTGAATAAGACGAAATTCATGAATAATTTGTTTTAAAACATTCTGCGTAAAATTATTGTTTGACATTTTATTAATTCGTATCCTTTGTTCCAGCTTTAAAAATTCTCTTAATCGATCACGATGTTTAAATTTTGAAAATTCATTTGGATCATGTAAACAATGTATATGCCAAGCATTCCATAATGATGCAGTAGAATAACCTCGATGATCTAATGCAGTTGATTCATGTTGATGACCAAGACTTGGAAAATACAAATGATTTATTGCTATTTCAGCAGCATATAATGATGTTACACCACGCCACCAGAATGGCCATTCACCATTAGCAGGTAATTTCTCAAGACCTATATACATATATATTATATTAATTATTCAGTAGTTTTCCTTCAAGGTGAGTGTGGGTTTAGATAAAGACACACCCACCCTTGTATTAATATAAAATAAATAGTTCGACATAATATATTTTTACCTGGAACATTTGATCCAAATTCGTTTTGTAGAAGATGTCTTCCGATTTTGATTGTTAAATTAGCTATAGCAATTGAATCTTTTGGATGAACCAACCATGTGGAACACAGATTATATATACCACCATGTTTGTATCCTAATTTTCTTGCAATATTTATTAATCGTTCTTTTGTAAAATTAGTACCATGACCTATTGCTCCAAATTGTTTATTGTATAATTTAACTGGATGTTTTTTTAAGAGACCAAAGAGTAAACCTGGACTTAAAATAGCATCTTGATCAACTCGTAATATCCAATGATATTTTAAAATTGTTTGTTTATATTCTTTTGTTAATAGAAAAGCAATTGATGTCATATAGAGATAATCATTCCATTCTTCAACTATTTTAATCGATAATTCTTCATAGAAACATGTTGGAATTGTTTGAAATTGTTTATTATAAGAAAGAGGTAAACAAGATGATGGTAATTGAAAACAACTTGGTTGTTCACAAAATACAATTAAATCAATAAGAACTTGTTGAGATAAAGGTGAAAAATTCTGAATAAAACGCCATGAATCATAAAGTAAATGAAATTCAGCAATGTGAGCTGCATCTTTAGCCAATGATAATACAACAGCTGTATGAATAATAGTGTCATTTGATTGAGTTTCTATCATTGAATAATCTATATCATTTTCAGTTGATGATTCATCAGGATAATAGAATATAATTGAAAAATATAATAAAGCTATCACAATCAATATAGCTATCAATCGAGCTACCTTTTCAACTCTGAGTATCATGAAGTCTTCGTTTTTATCTAGAAAAAACAAATGTTAGTAAATTTATTAGGTAAATATAAAGTGACTGTAAAGATTATTTGTTCAGTAATACACATATTTCATTTATTAGATAATGATTCAGGAGTTGTAACTTCATACATAAATATTTATTCAAGAGCTCATTAAACACCAGAATTGGGTCGATATCACTAAACTTTCACCAACCTGTATGGTAATATAATATCCGAGTAGACTAAATAGAATCGAAACTGTTGTAGTACCACACAACTCATCTGTGAGCTTATTGCTTCTTCAGTTTCAGATATTTGCTGCTGACCACCTTTTAACCCATGAAATTAATCATCATCATGGAGTCTCATTATTATGAACAGACGTTTTTTTGATGTTCGAAATGTGTCCTTCAAATAAAACTTGCGTACACTGTGTTTTGATTCGGAATGATGCTCTTTACAGTCCTGTCTTTTATAAGATGAAAGAAAATGTTCTTTTTCTTTATAATACTAGAGGGTAAGCGTGAAGATTAAAAATCGGCGCTACTCTACCGCTTTCTTTAATCAACTTCTTTTTTTTTGATAAAATCAAACAGAACAAAAAAATAAAGTTTGTTATATTTCTCTGTCACGTTGGTAGTAGTGCATTACCTACACACAGATTACTTAACTACTGGATGCATCACTGAAAATTCAGCAGTTACCTCAAAATACTCAAAAATAGGCAAAGCGTTACTTTCTTTAATTTTAAAGAATTTATTCACTGGAGCTTACTATTATTATAAAAACTTCTGTCGAAAACTTTCAGGATGTGGGTATGATTGCTTGATGAACATAGCATTCACACTCACCCTAGAGTAGGAGTACATTTTCCGAGAAAAATAAAAGATCGAAAAAGTCATTTGAATGTGTATAATCCAACTCAATTTTGTGTACTGCTTCTAAGTAACACTTTTTCTGGTATCTTCTTTACCGGATATCTCACAATTTATCTGATCTTTATTCGACAAAATGAAATAATCAATTCATCATTTCAATACCAACTTATCAAATAGAATTGAATCAAATTTTAAGGAAATTATTATTAGGCTAATGAGGAAAAATAAGGCATTTTGCTAGTAATCTTTAACTTTTCAAAATTGATCAAAATGTTCGTCTAAACTTTTTCTTCACACTGATATAAAAGCCAATAGGGTTTATCGGGAAAAATGCCCATGAGCTGATTGCTAGTCTTATGTATCTCGTTCTTCGAGAAAAAGTAAACACATAAACACCGATACTTATTTCTTTTGAATAAACGTTGATAATAAAAATAACATACACATGTTTGCATTTTGAAATGTCTTTTTCCGAAGGCTCGAAGACAAATAATAAAATATTAATTCCTTTTAACTTTAGCTATCGGACATATTAAATCAGTATATATTTAAAGTCGATAAAATAATTTCTTTTACAAATTTTCTCTTAACAATGAACATCAAGATATTTCTACTTCTTTTTTCGTATATAATCTTAACTAATTCGAATAGTAATTTCTATTCAATAAAAGTTACATTTGTAAAAGGATCCTATTTTCAACCACCCATTGATACACACCTTATTGATACATTAATCAATATTCCATCGATAAAAAAATGTGCTTTTATATGTGAACGTCATAATATTTGTCGTACAGCAGATTATAATATAACAACCAAAACCTGTCGTTTATTTGAAACAGTTACATCGGCAGGTGCATTTGTAGCTGATCCAACAACAAATATTCTTCCATTCAATTACTGTACTAATGATCAACAGATTGAACCTTTTTATGTTTGTACTCGAGGAAATACATACTCTATGCAACAAATATTCGATCAATTGGCTTTAGCTCCTAACATAACACTTGCATCAACTGATCGAGGTGCTTATGCAAATATGTATGGTGTTTATACAAGTAATTCAACTGGAGGTTTATCATTTTTTACTTATACTGGTGTAAGAAATAGTCTCATTCAGCTTCAGAGTGAGATTTCTAATATTAATTCAGCAACTAATAATGGCCTTGGAATTGTTCAATATTTTAATAATTCATCCAGTATTTACAAAAATACTGGTACATCATTTCAACCGCAACTTGTTTCAATACTTAATATTTCATTATCATCTACGCCTTATTCATGTTTGATAACATTACAATATACCTATATAACTTATGGAAGTAGTTTGGTACTTATGACTATTCATGATTTATCATCAGGATCTATGTTATTCTCTATACCAAGTACTAATAAAACGTTTCGACCAGTTGTCAGTCATTGGAATGATACGATTATTATTCTTGATCAATATGTAGCTACGGAATATACTTTAAATGGTACTTATAAAGGAAATTGGACTTATTTTAATGGTACACAAATATCACAACGTCATTGTATTCAACATGATTATGCAGGACAACGACATACATGCAATTCTGGTAATGGAACATATCCTGGTATATATACATTTTTAATGAATGGAACACAACTTGCTCATGGACCAACATTATGTGCTAGAGCTATTCAAGTTTATATCACAAAAGACCAGGCAATGCTTATCAACATTCCGAGTACAGCAATCATGAACATTATTAACTTTTAATTGAATAAATTTGTATTTGAATAAAATATTTTAGCTGATTCAAAATAAAATCATGTAAAATTTATTTATTGAAAATTGTAGAGTGAGGGTGTAGGTTAGAATTTGAGTATAGGATAGATATAGTATCTACATATCCACACTTTAAATGTTTTATTGTTTAGAAAATAAAAATAATTCATAAATTTTTTATTCGTTTAAACCGTGCATTTCTTTCCGTCATATATGATGATTGCAATAAATCTGTAATCAATTTTTCTTGAGGATTTGATGATAATCTTTGTGTTGTTATAAGAACTGAATCATCACTGAAAATTAATAGTTTGTTTAATGAAGAAAACCATTGTAGATTTAAATTATGAATACTATCAATATCATAATCATATTTTGATACATGAATATCAATATCAATACGTTTTAATGATCCAGGATTTTTCTCAAGAATATCGGAAAATCTTTTGAAATTAAAACTTTTTCGTTCATGATAATCTTGACGAGCTTGATGCCAGAGAAATTCTAATCGATAAATATTAGGCATTGATTTTAATAAAATCTCAAGATCAGGATCAAGTTTTCGAAGTTTAACTTTTAAATGAGAAATATTATTATGTTTTATATCAGGCTGACGAATAATTTCCTTATTTGGTAATACAACAATTTCTAAATAATTTAAATTTGGTAAATACGAAAGAATATCAAATAGATGATTCATTGAACAGGAACATAAATTTAAAGATCGAATTGTTAAACATAATTGCGATGGTTCCATTAAACTAAAATTCCTTGGATAAACACGTGGAATACAACATGTAGAAAGATACGGAAATGGATCTAAATTACATAGAATAGATTTAAATATTTTATCATTGATAGTTAAATTAGTTAAATATGGTAAATTATTCGGTGTAATTTCTAAACATTGATTAACACTTGGTAGAGGTAAATGAAGTGAACGTAAATTAACAAACGATCGAAGACTTATATCATAAGATAAAGTTGAGAAATGACAATCAATAGCAAGATAAATAATTTGACGAGCAAAATAAATCATACATGCTTGATCAACTTCATGTTCAACATCATTAATAATATGCATACATAAATGAGTATCATTTAAAATATTATTTATACGTTGATTGAGATTAACAAAACCACAATAGAGATCAATTGGTTTAATAAATGAAAATAATTCTAAAAAAAGTTCATCAGGAAAAAGTTCTAAGAATGATGTATCATTATTCATTTTCTCCGAGAGTAAAACTGAAGTTGAGATGCGTCGGCGACAACAAAATGCTTTTTTACAGAACAAATGTGAAAGAAATGAGTATATATCACATGTGATGGATGGTGACATTACATTAATAAACATTTTAATGACGCACCTTTTTTTCTTTCTGCCGATGCAATGAAAATAACAAAAAAATGAATCGTTTCTCTTCTTATAAAATATACAAACATGACTCAGATTTCAAAACAATTTGACTGGACGAATTTTTTCATACAAAAAATTAACGTTTTCATTAAATATATTATTATTAATCTGAATAATAGACGTAATTAATAAAATAATGACTCATGGTATGTCTTCCAAATTTTTTGTTAGTTTACTTTTTTTAAATCATTACAAAATAACTATTTATTTAGTTTTCATGAAGGAGAGGAAGTGGATATGCTTGTCATTCATCGTGAACACCCACACCCTATTTTTAATTTATCTGAAAACTTTAATGAACGCTAATCGCTGGTTGAAAAGATAGTTTTGCTGTATTTTGAATGGAGTATAAACGTGCTTTTGCTATTCTTCGAGAGAATCAATCGGCAATGATTGAGTCATCTGTTACGCTTCATCTGTTTCTCTCGGAAGAAGAAAGTCAGTTATATTACCTGTATGTGTAAATCATGATTTTCAATTTAATAAGATTTTATATCATTTCAATGAATCATGTATTACGTTTTATGTATTTCACTCGGAAGAAGAAAGTCAACTATGTAAACTGGATGACGCTGAAGTTGTGTATGAAATAATACTTTCACACGAAGTTTAAGACGTACATACACTCAATATACGCAGGATCTTATTTGATCGACTTCTCAACTTCAGAATATCTATAACTTTGTTGAGTCTGACTCAAACTCTCTTAAAATTTTTCCATGAGATTCCATTTAACTTCATCATTTTGTGAAACCATACTTTAAGAATATGATTAAAACAAGTATCATGCTTATTTTGAGATAAACGACGTCTTTGATTTCTATATTTAAATACTCATTCAAGCGTTTCTACTTCGTTCTAACGAAATACACCATTTGTACTTCCGATCTCTTCAATATAAATACATGAGCTAGTAAGCAAAATTTTACAGTACTAACAAAAACAAGTTATTAGTGAACAATCGTAAAGGTAAGTTCTACATCATAAGCTAATATATTCTGTTAATTGGACAGATTTTTGGTGACAGCTGTAAAGAATCATGTACTGCAGCTAAATACATATCGTCGACAGTTCTCGGTACAGCACCGTTCTGTAATGGACGTTGTACTGATTGTCAAGCTGGTGGTGTCTGTTTATCGAATAAATGGTCAGAAGGAAAAGGTTGTTGGACAGGAAGTAAAGCATGTTGCTGTTGGGGAACAACAGGCTGAACAAGCAATGGTATTTTAAACAAAAAAAGAAAAATCACGTGAACAATAATGTTTTCATTTTTTTTCTTCTTTTACTCTTTTAAACCAGCAGAAAAATCCATTTGTATATTCATAACATATTAATAAATTATTTAATCATTACTCTTACAACAGATTTAACGCCAAGTACAGGAGTCCGTTCCATTCCCTTTGTAATTAAGTCGTTGATGTGATTTCTAAAATGCTTTGAGGGTGTGGGTATGAGTAAAGAAGAAGTATGCATGCAGTTACACTCACCGGCACCCTCAAGATGATAACCGAATTGAAGTAAATAACACAAGACAGCCAAAGGGCAATCTAATATCTTGAGAATGTGGGTTTATCATATCTATTCTACTCATACCCACACCGTTCTATAGCGTTCTTGTATTCATTTCATATTTTTATATAAATATAATCCATGTTTTCATGAATGAATAAAATAACACTTATCATCGTAATCTATGAACAGAGATAATAAAGGATGAATCATGAGAACACATACCTAATAACAGAAGTAATCAAAGAAATGACAATATCAGTGTATTCAGTTTTATTCATCTTTGTATCATCGAAACGTTCATTCATAAACAACTGATGTATGAAATCAATGTTGTTGTTGTTGTTATTGTATTCATATACGACATATTTTTGTCAATGCTGTTTATGTGCGCTGTGTTATGATATTCACGTAATTTGACAATACTACAGCAGTATTGTAGTAAAACGTGAGAATCGATATTTTTCATCAAAAACATTTAGTTTTGTTTTTTTTTATTAGCAATGTTTTCGTTAAAAAGTGTATCAAATGACATTTACCGTTTTAGAGTTGTGGTCACAACCGTAAATGTGCAATTAAATTTAGATGTTTTCTACACTACGAAACAAATCAAAGAAAAGACATTGGTAATAAACATGAATTTGCTATTTTTGTTGTATTGCATGAACAGTAAAAATGCATTACTTATTTCTCTTCCTATGTTTCTCTATCACATGTTCATGTTAGGTATTGTCATATGAGGATGGTAATCAATTGTTTTTGTTGACTGAAAATAATTTTTCTTGTTTCTCTTTCTCTCTATATATACCTGTTCACATACTTTCACAAAACAGTCCTCATCCATACTACAGTTTTACTCCACACCATATTATTACTATTAATATGCCAGCCTGTGTCCGTTCACCATGTTGCGGTTGTTGTAGCTGTTCTGGCTGTAACTCATGCTGCGATCCATGTTGTGATGCTTGTTGTAGTCCTTGCTGCAGCCCTTGCTGTGATCCTTGTTGTGATCCATGCTGTGGCCCATGCTGTGGACGACGATGTTGTGTACGTACAACTGTTTGCTGCGCACCAACAGTCAAAGTTATCAAAAAGAAAACCGTCATTGTGCGCAGATCATGCGCCAAAGTTTGCTGTTGCTAACATTAACATTTTGTTCTTTTTCTATGAATTGATCTAATGTATAAATGTTAGAGAGGATTCTGACAGCATTCTTATCATTTTTTTTTCTTTTCTTCCCTTTCGTTGATATGTGTATATGTGTACGTAAGTGTATCTCTTTTCTTTTCTTTTCTTTTTTCTATTGTCCATATGACGATCATATTTTTTCATCCAGGTCTTTCCTTCCTGCCGTCCATGAGAATTATATTGAAATTCTCATCTTCTTTCTTTTTCTTATTTCACTCTACATATTCGTTTACTTCTTGTACAGTTAGAAAGAAGATGTATTACAACATCTTCTTTGTTTTTTGTCCACTTTGATGAGAAGTAAGAGGGAAGCACTTATATCACCCTCTTTCTTCTCCTTATTTTTTTTTGTTCATCTCTTTTTCTTTCTTGTATATTTTCTTGAATATCTTTTGTGTGTTTGCGTGTCTGAATAGGGAGGATGTAAATAACCAGTTCTTTTTAAATAAAATTAGTTAGCGAATAAGGAAAATGTTCTTTTCCTTATTCGACCAATTCAGTGACAAAAAACAGTCTTGTAACAATAATGAAGAAAATTTATTTGTTTGTTATTTTATGCATCTGGCTCCTTTAAGACCTAATACAACCAAACTTTATACGACATTACATTTCGACAAGGGAAGATGAAAACGGATCAGTGCGACCAAAGGGGTGGACGGGAAGAGTTTCGACTCCAAGTTTTGGAGCGTGGGGGTCGGAGTCGATCTTCTATTAACTGATATCCACCCTCCATATTTTCGACGTTATTAGGGATGACCTTATTAAAGATTATTCGAAATATTAACAAAGATAGTAGAAGAATTATTACAATTATATCGCAATGACTAGTATTGAGAAAGTCTTGTTTTTTTATTTATTCAATTATGACATCTTGAGGGTGGGTGTGGGTGTGGATGAAGATGTGTTTAGATAAACTCAAACCCACCCCATACACATATTTTATACATATGTTTGTTGTTATGTTATATATGATCTAATTAACATAAATTGGTTTGTCTATTCATTATTTCCTTAAGTTTATTTCTTTTTGGAGCTCATCTTTCCTCGTGCTTAACTTTCCAATGCCCATTAAATGCTACTTAACCAGAAATAAAATGACGAGTATTATATGAAAAGACTTGTTTAATTGTTTCTAATGATTGAAACGAAAAAAAAATAAGAGAGAAAGAAAGTAGTTTTTCATGAGTTAACTAAATTGAATAGTAACTCCGACGTGTTTCGGTACGATAGTCAGTCTTTGAATGCAACCACCTGTATTAAATTCAGGACCGCCATCACCGATTGTCACCTGTTGTAACATGCGAGCTAGAATTATTTTGAGTTCTAATCGAGCTAAATCTTGTCCAATACATTGACGATGACCATTCCCGAATGGTAAAAATGCACATGGATGACGATGTTTATCTTCATTAAGAAATCTTTCCGGATAAAACAAATTAGGATCAATTTTCCAATGGCGATCGTCTCGAGCAAGAGCAGATGATGGAATAAGTACTTGATCACCTTTGTAAAGTCGAGTACCACTTGACGGAAGACAATCATCGACAACTACTGTACGACTTGTTCCATCGATTGTTGGAGAATAACGAAGAACTTCATTGATAAAACAATCCAAATAAACAAATGAATCAAGATGATCAAATGATAAATATTGTCCAGTATTATCATCTATCAATTCTTTCTTGATCTTTTCTTGAATACGAGGATGTTTACTTAGTTGATAAATACACCAAGCAAGAGCAGTCGATGTTGTTTCATAACCAGCAATTAAAAACATAAGCATCTCATCAAAAAGTTCTTTTCGGGAAATACCTATCAATTTTTTTTTTATGATTTTCTTAATAATTATCTATTTATATCAAAGATAAAGTTTACCTTTTTTGTCTTCTTCTTTTTTTACTGCTTCTGCCTTTTCATCTGTTTGTAATGAACTAACTAGTGAAGCAATCAATGAAATTTTCTTCCGTTCTGTTCTCGAATCTAAGCTTTCAGTCAATTCTTGTTCTACCATGTTATTCAAATATCGTTCGATGGTGGCACGTGCTCGTTGATATCGAGGATTGCATTTTAAATAAGTAGTTGAAATGATACTAGGTGCGTAGAGAATCATTCGAAATGCATCCATAATATGTTTTAGAGCTTCAGTCAGTTCATTCTTATTTTCTGAAAGATTCTCATTAATTGTTTCCAAATCATAATCAAAAGCAATCATTCCAAAGACTTCGAGTAGAAGATTTTGACATTGTTCAACAATATCAGTATGCACATGTTCAGATGACTGAGTGCGCCACCGATCTAATAGTTTGTCCGTTCCATCAATAATTATATTTATATTCGAAAGAATTTTATTACGACGAAATAATGGCATAGTGATTGCACCATGTCGTTTGAATTTAGCACCTAAATATCATAATGAAAAAAAAATCTTTGATAGAGACAAAAGAAGAAAAAGCATTACCTATGTTACAAATAATACTGTCAGGAGCCAAAATGCTGAGCTTTTCCAAAAATATACTTCCTTGATCATATTTATTTCGATTATTAAAAATATATTGAACATCATCAATATTATGTACGATAGTATATCGTATAAAACCCACCCAAAATAAATAAATATCACCAAAACGTTCTTTGTAAGATATATAAATGTCAGAAATTGGTTTAGAACCAAATAATAAGCCTGCTTGAATTAAATTTCCAAAAAAGAAATGTGGTGGTTGACCAGGCACTGGACCACGAAGTGTAAAATATTTCAATTTTATATATATTATCCATAAGATGACGAAAAAAATAACTAAGAAAACGAACATTTACGATTGTGTTGTATGAGAAAGTGGTTATGTATAAATATGTGATGCTAAATGAAACGATTGCGCGCACATGTTTCTTTTCTTTTTCTTTCTTTATCTTTTCCTCTACACGCATAGAGCGGATGAAGTCCACTCGATCATTTATAAATAGACAGAGAAGCAGAATGAATGAACCGACAAATATATACCTAAGAAATATTAAAATCAATGCAATTTAAGGATCAATTTTCTTTTTCTTATTGAGAGTGTGAATAATGAGTGGGTCACGCACACCCTCAAGATGAAAATTATCTATCCCTAAGTTGTTTATGTTAATATTGGATATTATAATTTTCTATATTAAAAAATGTTGTGCTCATATAATTATTTTCTATTCTGATAGTTATTCAGAAAACTAATATTAATTGTTTTGACTTTTTTATTTAATTTTTATAATTAACTTTTGTATTAAAAACAAGCCATTTTTAGTGCTCTTTTTATACATACTTTTAACAAATATCTCGTTAAAAAGAATATAATGTGCTTACTTATCTGTTTACATCGAAAGAATAATAGTATTATATTTATTCAATAAAAAGAGATATTAAAATCTTCAATTAACAATCGAATACAATATTTAATACATTTAAGAGAAAATTCAGTTGAATTATGAAAGTTTATTGGTAAAAACGACAAATCAACGAAATATAAACATGATACTAGTGAGTGATCATAAAGTAAATCAAAATGAGTAATAGAAAAATGTTATTTAAATGCACAAAGGCAACAAAGGAATACATAATAACAAAGAGACGGGGTCAGCATAAGAAAAATATTAACATGTAAAGATGATTATAAATCGTATTATTTTTTTATTTTCTTGATATATAGAAGGAGAAAAGACACAAGAATAATTTGCTTCTAATAATGAATATTTCACGTCAAACATAGATGCATCCTATCAAAAACGGTAAAATAAATATTAGAATAAGATGTATATATAGAGAAAAAAGAAATAAAAATAGATTAAAATCGATTTTTTTTTTTGGGATTTTCCACACAATAATCAATTATAATCGGATTTTTAGCCATTTGTTTACGTGGGAGATTGAGAAATGAAATATTGTGGCAACATATATTTCATGCCATAAAGAATGCTTGAGGGTGTGGGTATCGGTCTTCTATTAATCAATATCTACGCCAACACTCAACCTCTATATTTGCGACATTTCTTTCTTTCCACTTTTTATTTTCGAAATTATTATTCGAGATATTAATAAGCATACCAAAAGGATTATTATAATTATATCGCAATGACTAGCTTTGAGAAAGCTTTGTTTTTCTATTTATTCAATTTTGGCATAATGAAAGAAAGATAAAGTATAAAAACAAAAAAAAATAAACTATGAAAATCATAGATTTATAGAGTTTTTCGTTGAAATTTCGTTCGTAATAGTAAAATAAGAATACTTAGTAGTTGACCAACACCAAAGAGAAGAACAAGTAAACCAATATTACGATTATAATTACTCTAAAATATATACATACAAATAGATCTCAAAAATAAATATATTTTTATACAGACTTTCTTAAAACTATAATACGCAAGAACATCATCACCACTTCTTAAACATGTTGTATTACCCATTCGATTACAGTCAAATGATTTAACATCTGCCCATTGATTAATCGATAACAGTTCATCTGTATAATAAGGCCATGAAATATAATGTAACCAAATAAGCCATTTAGGTATTGATCTAAATTTGAAAAAAAGAGCAATGAAATTATGCAAGATTTTACTTTATATTATGTTAATATACTTTGTCTTTATATAAAAACCAGATACAACAAGTAGAGGTATAAGAATTGGAACAACTAGTGCTGAAGCAACAGTAGACGTTGGACTAGACACTCCTATCAATGTTCCTATAAGAAAAATAAATGTTTTCAACATAATTTTGTTTTTTTTTTATTTACCAACAGACATTGAAACTAACATACATAGAAGGAGAATACCTTGTAAAATAAAAAATCTTCGAGCACTATTATATAAATTAGCCATCCAATAAATAATAGTTATTGATAAAAATATATCAATTGCAGTTATTGGTAATTCTACAACTACTTTTGATATATAATAAGGTATTGTACGATAGATTCCATCATCATGTTCTTTAAAAAATAATGGTAATTGTCGACTCATACTCTAAAATGTTAATGTATAAAAAATATTATAAAAAGAAAAAAAATTATTTTGAATTACATCAGCATTTCTTTGAACAACCATGAATGTTACATCAAGAATCATTAGAAATAAAACTGATGACATATTTTGAGAAGCGGTTTGATCATATTTTAAATTTAAAAATGAAAAACCCAGAATAAGACCAAGAATTACTGATGTAAGTATACGGAAACGAAATTCAAATGGATTACGAAACATATCAATCAATAAACGCCATAATAACCAACGAAATTGATTGAAAATATTAGTTTTATATCTAAATAAAAATTATTTAGTTTGTTTTTCTTTTAATCAAAGCAACAAACTTTGATGAATGATCAAATATTCCATTTGATTGATCATCATCAATTGAATGATATTTTTGAATTTCATCAATATATTGAGTATTAAGAGATGAATGTTCATAGGTATCACAAATATTCTAAGAAAGAAAACGGAAAAAAAAAGAAAATTTTTCATATATTATCAATATTACCTGAATTCGTTCAAGTGATTCTTCTTTTTCAAATGGTAATATCGATAATGTTTGAATATAAAAATCTGATAAATTATAATTATTTGGTGCTTCAAAACCTAATCTAAAAATAAATATTGAAATTTTATTATTTTTTATGTGAGTATATCATGCATTATCGACTAACTTATTAAAAAATTCTTGAGCTTTCTTTCTTGAACCAAAATAAGCAACACGTCCTTCGGCTAATAGATAAAGTCTATATATATATTAAACATAAATAAATAAATAATAATGGAATATTCTTACGTATCAAATAATTGAAAAATTTCACTTGATGGTTGATGAATTGTACAAACAATTGTCTTACCTTGATTACACAATTTACGCATTACATCACATATTGTAAATGCCATGCTTCCATCGAGACCTGATGTTGGCTATGATAAAATATTATTTTATAGTAATAAATATATAAATCAATTACTTCATCAGCAAATAATAAAGATGGATCAATCATTACCTATATTCATATTAATAAATTAAAATAATAAAATATTATTAAATATACTTCAGAAGCAAAGAGTAAACGTCGTTTTTCACCACCTGATAAACCTTTAATAAGCCCTGGTTGACCTATGACTGTATTTTCAACTGTATTCAAATTGAACTAATAAATATAAAGTTACCATTTAAATTCCTCTAATTTATATATATATATTATCTTACCAAATCAAGCATTTCATCAATACGAGCAATTCGTTGTTCTTTTGATATATCATGATTTAATCTTAACATTGCCTAAATTAATATTATTAGATTTCAAATTATATAAATATTATTACATGAAAATGTAAATGTTCTCGTGTTGTCATTGATGGTATGAATAATTCTTCTTGTTGTACATAACCTGATACCCGATTAATATTTCTACCCATATTTGTTCCATTTACTCTAACTTCACCCTCAATTTTTAATGTACCGGGCCGACGATTTGTTAAAATATTTAATAATGTTGTTTTACCAGCACCACTAGCACCCATTATAGCAACTAATTGACCTGGTTTAGCAATACCACTAACTAAATTAAATTTTATATAAAAAACAACTAATCTTTTCTTATTTTTACCTCCTTCGAGTAATATTGTTGATTGAGTAACTTGTTTCCATGGACACAATGCTTTTCTAATTGTTCGTTTAATACCTTTATCTTCTGGTGGTGCTTTTGCTTTTAAATCAAGCCATGTAAGAGTAACCGGTGGTGAAGTAAAATTTATTTTACTTATACCTAAATCATCATCATCGTCATAAGCAACTGTTTTTTGAGTTTGTGAGTGTACTTTAGATTTTCGTCTTTTTCCATAGAGAATATCACGTTGAACAGGTAAATTTGCTTGTTGTCTTAAATATCGATACCAATCAAGATCATGTTGTTTATTTGGATAATTATGTGTACGCCAAGTAGAATTCTATGAAAAAAAATTGTAATTAATAATAAAATATTATTTCATTTTTGTTTTTCGAGTATACATTTTGTCGAATATAATCACCAAGTGTATTAATTGGATAGTTTCGAAAATTATTCTTAGGTTCATTCATCTGAAAAATCTATTAACAAAGAAAATATTATAAATTATTGTAAGACGTAGATTATTTTCTAATAGCTTAGTTTTTTATATTGTTCAATAGTGTTAGTATGTTAATATATTGACAGATAAATAAAAAATACAGTAAGAGAAAAGACACAGTTATATGTGATTTACTGACTAAACTGAAAGAAAATTAAGAGTCAATCATGTAGAACGATGAAACAATGTATGTAATACTTATAACAAATTGATGTATGACGCTATATTCCTTATCATCGCCTAACTTAATGTTTAAACTAATCAAAAATGAAGAGTTAATTATGTAAAACGATGAAATAATGTATGGAATACTTATAACAAATTCATGAGATGCCTAATTAGAGTTGGAATATAAATGGATATCGAATACTTAATATCTATTCGAAAAGAAAAATATATATATAAAGCAGTGTGTATAGGTATTGATGATTTTCGTTTGTATTCCAACTCGAATTAGGCAAGTACTCACAGAAACAGAATTCGACTACCAAATAACAACAACAAAAAAGAATTTCTTCGCGACTTCGTTTTCTTTGAGGAAACTAATAAAAATATATAAATGAGTAAGACATAGCAAGATAAATCAAATAATATCATTTTTTATTGTTATAATAGCCAATCGATTTCATAAGCAAAATCGTCATTTTTGATATAAATAACAAAATCAAGTAAGCACATGTATAAAAAGTTAGAATTATAAACATATGAAAATGTAATCAGATTTCATTTCTTCTCTTATTTCATTGATTAATTCATTAATTTCTCGTTTATTTTATATCAATTCATAAATAAACGTTTTTTATATCGTAGAAAAGTTTGTGACGATTTCTAATAGAGGAAGTATTTGTACTGATAATATTGCACTTTATTATATTTCTTCTTATCGAGAATCGCATCAATTTCATACAAAGTATATACTTATTTACTCACTCATCAGAGGGGGCAAAAGGACATCAAAGAAGACGGGAGCAAAAGGACACCAAATAAGACGGGAGCAAAAGGACACCAAATAAGAGGACAATAGGGACGAAATAAGATGGGAGCAAAGTATCACATGATGTATAGAATAAGGACAAAATGATAAGGGTAATGAGAACGAAAATAAGACGGGAGCAAAGTATCACACAATGTATAAAATAAGGACAATACTTCAAATGAGAATGAATTATAAGAACAGTGCAAACATAGTTACAAACTGAAACTAGAAAAACAGTACAAAAAGTACCATTTGTACTGGTAGAATTCGAATATATGATACAATATGAATATTGTTTTAAGCATATGATCATCATACAATAACAGGATGAAGATTATACAAAATATAATATTATATGTATATGTTTATCATTCGATAGAACTAAAAAAATTCGATTAAATAATTCATTCTATAACTGAAAACTTCTAAGATCACTAATTATACTGTTTTTTACTATATGACTTTATCTATATTTGTATATAACTGATAAGTGTGGGTGTCTTTTTTTTGTACATCAACAATATCATGAATAAATAAATGATTCATCAAGTAATAATCTTAGCATGACGTCAATATCTAACCACGTATTTTATTTTTTCTATAAATAATATTCGGATTAGTGAGTACAAAACGGATATTCTCAAATAGCTGTATAAATATGTTAGCAAGTATTCATATTATTATATTTTAGAGTATTTATATTTCGACAAAAAAAACTTTTGCGTACATTAGTAAGTATTATCGTTTGCTTTTATAGATTTGAGAATAAAAGCATAATTTTTTTTTTATTTTTTATTGTTTCATAGAAAAATTTCAATAAAATTTATATGAGTATTTATTTATGAAAAAAGTTGAATATTAATTTTGAGAAGTTATAAGTATATTACTCTGTTGTTTTAGATATTCTTATTTTTTTTCGTCTTCTGATCTTATTCAATATGAGATTAACTGCTGATCTCTGTCAATCTGAACTGTTCAATATACAAATCAATGATTCAGACAATTTACAGCAGGCTGAAAAGTCTTACTTAAGAGCTGAAGCTATTTCCAAAGTTTATGGTAAGATTCGAGTGCTTTAAAATACAGTTTAATAAGTTTATACATTCTTGTAGGATTAACTCTAGAAGATATTCTTAATGTATCTCCTAAATTTTGGCAAATGCATACTGATCCCATCATGAGTATCGATGGAGCCGCCTCAACTTTGCTGACTATTCAATATAACCTCGTCGTTGGAACACTTGGTATGTTTGTAGGAGAAAGAAAGGATCTTGAACCTCTTCTTCAAGATTTAGTAGAATATAAAACAATGTAAGTTTTCATAGTATAATACACTTGTTTAAAAAATAAATTTATTTTTGTTTTTCTTTAGTGGACATTTTTGTTTAACTGAAGTAGGACATGGTCTCAATGCTCTCTATTTACAAACAACTGCAACTTTACAAAGTGATGGAACTTTCGATCTTCACACGCCTAATGATCAAGCTGGAAAGTATGTCATAAATTTAATTAACTATTATTACCATTAATAATATTCATTTTCAGATATATGCCACCAACAATTCCTGTTCTTGGACGTCCTTGTATTGCTTTAGTATTTGCTCAATTGATTGTTGAAGGTGAACATAGAGGTCTTCGACCTTTTATTGTTACTATTAATGATGGATATTGTATGAGTCCAGGTATCAAAGCAAAGTAAACTCAATTCATATAAGATAGGACTATTTTCTGACATATTTCTTCTAGACTTTTACCAAGACGTTCTGGAGCACATCCTGTCAATCATGCTATTACTTCATTCAATCATGTTCGCCTTCCATCAACTGCTATTCTAGGCAATCTTAAGAAGCCATCCTCATTACATATACATTTTCTTCTTTCTATCATTCGCGTTAGTGTTGGTACTCTTGCTCTAAGTTCCATTGCTTTATCCGTCTTGCAGATTGCATCACACATTGCCTATCATTACAGTATTCGACGAACAATATATAAACATGATGGTAGTGAAATTAATATTCTCTCTTTTCGAACACAACAAATTCCTGTTTTCACGGCAGTTGCACAAAGCTACGTACTTCAAGCATTTACAAAACATTCTATAAATTATTTTATGGATCAATCACTTGATCCCCGTTCAAGACATGGTGTTGCTACCATATATAAAGCTGTCTGCTTGCAACATTCTCAGTCATCACAACTAGAGCTTTCTGAACGCTGTGGAGCTCAGGGCCTTTTTGGATACAATCAAATCATAACTCAATATGTATGTTTGTATATTTAATTCTAAAATTTCTCTTGATGCATTTTTTTAGAGCAATATACAAGGAGTTGCGATCGCCGAGGGGGATATCCTTGTCCTTACAATTCGTATGTTGTTTGATATTATTTAGACTATTTTTTAGTTCTTGCTTTTTCTCTTTATAAAGGTCTTGTTAGCGAACTTTGCATTGGAAGATATTCCCTTCCTCAAACATCCAATCCAGACAGTCTTCTGGCTAAACATGAAGCTAGTATATTTGAAGAGTGTCAAGCTATTGCTAAACAGTATGGACATCGTAGTAAAGAGTTCTCGTCCTATGTTTTGCCAAAATGTCGATCTGTTGTTGAGGCCATGGGACATCGTATAGCATATGATGCTGCAGTAGCTGATGAAGTACCTCAAACATTGATCGACATCTATATGTGCCATGTTATCAAGCTTGATCTTGCTTGGTACATCGAAAAAGGACTACTTACACGCGCACAATTCACTCATATGGAAGCAGAAGCATTCGACAAAGCCATTCCATTGATGCATGATTGGGTAGAACAAATGGATGTTGAATCATATATCAAGGCACCGATTGTCAGTGATGACAGATGGGCAAAATTCGTTAAAAGTTTATATTGCTACGATGATGTCAAAAATGCTTCACATGTGGTTGATACTAATATCGAAAGCACAAGCAATGTGTCAGTTGAGAATATGACTATTCCAACATCAAGCAATACTTCTGAAGCCTCAATCAATAACAAAATTTGAAGTTTTCAAGGGCAAAATTATAAATAAAACTTGATAAGCGACAGCGATTTTTATTAGCATTTTATAAACAAAAACTAAACTTTTATCTACTAATATATTTATTTCATTTACTTAATAAATTCTATATTCCAGTAAATTTATGTTACCATCATCAATAAAGATATAAAATTACCTATTAACATCATATAACATATACATACGAGATAAAAAAAATTAGAATGAAAATTACTAGATGTGGGTGGGTAGGAATGTACTTGCGGATATTGTTTTTATGATATTCACATTCATGACCAGCACTTCCAAAATTCTTATTCGGCAGAATTTTGTAATTTATACAAAATTCTGCTTAAGAAATAAATTTCTGGATTCTGCTGGCTAAGAATTTTGCAGGCCATTTAACAAGAACGTTTGCTTGTTGTATGAAAAAGTTGTTCAGTCAAATTGCTTTGAAATCTGTGTCATGTTTGTATATTTTGTTAGGAGAGAAATGATTCATTTTTTTCTAATTTTCATTGTATTGAGAGAAAAAAAGGTGGGTGTGGGTATTCAGTTTATCTTGTATCCACACACATATACCCACAACCACACTCTCCAGATGGTGAGTGTTAATGAATACCAAAATTTTTATTCGAATTTTGATGAATGTATGCGATCATTTCTTCCTAATTATACGAAACAGAAGTGTTAATACTATCTGTGATCGTTTGAACATTAGTTTTTGACATAGCCACGATCGACGAATTGTTCAGCTTCTATTTCTATGATGGATTTTTATTATTTATACGATAATTATTAAAGATTTTCATTCTCATTCAATTAATAAGAAGAGGAGATACGATAGGTAAAGATAGAAATGTAAGCAAGAGCGCTTGTGTCTGTTCACAAAAGGAGACAGGCTGAAAAGAAGACAATGATTTATTTGAATATTTATAAATAAATTAAAATATAGAATTGATAGTGTTGATTTTATTTCACTTCTATTTTATTTGATTATAATAGAAATGATAGCAGATAAATAATTGCTTCTTATAAACATGTATAATATTCAAAAATGACGTATGAAGAGAAAAGCAATCGACCGAGTCAATCAAAAGGAAAGAACAGAAACGAAATAAAATGATATATCTATCGTTTAAATGACACATAAATATGGAAATTACCAAGTCGGTAACCAATATAAATCGACTGTCATCACTTCCCTTTCGTTTTACTTTATATTTAACAATATTCAATCGTCGTCTTCGAAAATATTATAACGAATTTCACAAGATCAGTATTTTATTATCAACTTTGGAAATTTCTCACGAATAAATACGAACATGAATTCATCTCAAAACAAAATTAAATCTTATGGTAAATATATATTTGAAAGAAATAATTTCGATTCTATAATTTTAATAATAATCAATATTTACTACGTTGAATTAGTAGATTTTAACTGTTTATATATTTTTTTTACTTAAATTAAGGTAATGATGATCTTGATGATTTACTTGGTGAATTTAATATACAAAAAAGTTTAGGTGAACGTCTTTGTTTATTAGAAGATTATAAAATAATAATTGTTTGTGATGATTCTGGATCAATGAATACAACTGTTGATGGTAGTCAAGATACTCGATGGGATGAACTTTGTTCAATTGTTAAATTATTAATAGAAATTTGTATGTTATTTGATTCTAATGGTATTGATATTTATTTTCTTAATCGAGGACGTTTTCTTAATGTAAAAACTTCTGAATTTGTTGATAAAATATTTTCGAATCGTCCACGTGGTTATACACCATTAGTACCTATATTAAAGAAGATATTTAAATCATCATCAACTCGTGTAAATGCAGATCATAGAAAAACTCTTGTATTTATTGCGACAGATGGTGCACCAACGGATGAAAAAGGACATGTTAATTTGGAAGAACTTGAATGTTTAATGAATGTAGAACGTGAAATAGAAACAACTCATGTCATGTTTTTATTATGCACTGATGATCCAATTTATAATGATTGTTTAACTGATTGGGATAATAAAATGATCAATATGGATGTTACAGCCGATTACATAACAGAAAAAGAAAAAATTCATACATATCGTGGTAAAAATTTTCCATTTTCAAAAGGCGATTATGTTGTTAAAGCATTACTTGGTGCTATTGATCCGGATATTAATAATCTTAATCAACCTGATGAAGATATTTTTCTTGATCAATAATATTAGAACTCATTTATAGGCGATGAATAAAATATCATTTGTTGTTGTACACGTATATTTTAGTACAGAGAATTATTTATTAAAACATAAACTAAAAAACGATATTTTAATTCAAATACAATAGTTAATTCTAAAAGAAAAATCTAATTGAGAATGTATCTTCTATATGTATCAATTACTTAATCGACAGAAATCGTAACTTAATTGTTAACTATAAGAAAACTTCAAAGTCTCTTTAATGAAAAAGATCAATATGAAATAGTGTAGGTAGTTCGATACAAATTCATTATTCTATAAGCACAAGCTTTTCACAATTATCAAATATCAAAATAGTCGATATTCAAAGAGTCCGATTTTAATATAATCTTAAAGATGTGGGTTTAAATCAGGGTGTCTGTCATTTATCTTGAGGGTGGGTGTGGGTGTCTACTGTTTCTACTCACTCCTACGTTTACATACATACACATACTCTACAAAATAACAACTAACACTCTTTTTTTGTGCTGGAAATATCTCATACTTATAACAAGTCGCTTAGCTAAAATAATTTCTTTCACTTATTAACGAATCTGGATAAAGTTTTCTCATCAGTTTAGATGTTGAAGTTAGAGGAAGATCAAACACTCATTTGTCTTATCTTATAAATAAGTTATTTTGAGTTGACATTAAGTAGAAATGATGTTTTGCGTTTTATATAAATCATATACAAAAAAGTTGATTACTTTTTTTCTGCTTTGTAGAACTGTGCGTGGAAAAAAGTCGTTAGTTGCTCTCAAAACTTATTATAAGCGTCTATTCTTTCGTTTCTATCGTTCTTTCTCCTTCCTGTTATATTATTCAACTGAATGCGTGAGTTTATTTTACTTTCATTTACTTTCCTTTGCGAAAGTAAAAAAGAAAATGTAAGTGCCACCCCTACTGTGTATATATTTAAATCATATATAACGTGAAAAAGAAAATGACCTTCATTCGTTCTTATACTCATGTGATTACTTTCAAATATATGCATATATTTGCTGTATGGCTTTGAGTTAATGATTATATCAATATTGACAAACAATAATCATCATCTCAAAATCTTATAGTAGAGAAATATTGTATAAAACTCCGTCGTTACTGGCTATAGTTTGGCAATAGAAGATTTAAAATTACTCGTGAAATGCAACAACAACCGGTAATAAATGGAAATCCAACTCGAATTACTGGTACCGTTCCTGTGCGATGTATATGTTACAGTTGTCAAAAAGATATTGTAACACGTACAGAAAAGAAAAATGGTCTTGTTACATGGCTTAGTTGTGGAGGTATATGTGTTCTTGGTGCTCCGTTTGGCTGTTTTCTTGGTTGTTGTTTAATTCCATTCTGTGTCGATGCAACCAAGGTCAGAAAAATTCATTTGAAATATATAATAAACTAATTCGATTTAATTTTTTTGTTCATATATAAATAGGATACTGTACATTATTGTCCAAATTGTTCTGTTGTACTTGGTGAAGACAGATTACTGTCATAGAAAAACTCTCAATATTATTGAATCAAAGTTTTCGTTTCACTACGTTATTCATTATAACTGAACAAAAAAGAAATACATTATCGTAAGAGCAAGCATTGATATTGAAGATTTTTCCGTTCAGTTCTGATAATGATTTAATGATGACTATTGAAAAAATAATAAAAGCATAATAACTGATAAATATCATCCGTAATGAAAATTCTGCTCTGATGTAACACGAAATTTCACAGAGATGAAGACGCATTTTTAATATAGAAGGAAAAATTGAAGTACATAAATTTACCAATCAAAAAGAAAACGATATAAACTAATAAATAAAGATTCAATAGTTCATAAAACAATCAAATCAAATAGAATTATTATATATCAACATCGCAAATACTGCGAGATCATCGTTCGAGGTGTAGTTGACATCGTTAAATGAAAATAAAATTGTTATATTGAATTCAGACACAATAAAGAGATTATGAAAAAGATATGCATTGAATTTTTTAATAATTTTTAGTTTTGTTTATGAGTGATATAAACCCTATTTTTCAGCTGATTTCGTTCGGTAGCGAAAACTTACACATTCAAGTCATAGAACTATCTTAGTACGTACTAGAAAAATAATACATTTTTACCATGGTACTTTGAAATTTCGAGTTCATAAACTTTTTCCATTAAAACATAAAATTCCGTAATGCTACTGTTCATTTCAAAAAAAAAGGGCGGGTGAGTATTTTTCGAATATTCTTTGATAGGAGCAAGACAGAGAGCTGCGGTTTTCACCGTTACAAAGAGCAGATAAAGGTGCATTAAAATCTATACGGGAAGATTTCTCTAACTACTTCCCAAAGGCTGTTATAGGAAACTCTTGAACAAACAGTATGTCTCGCATTAACGCCACATTAGTTCATTTATATTCGGGAGTGTTCTAGAATTGCCAGATTACGAACTACAAAACTGTATGAAGGTTTTACTCATGACTGCTACTAATTGAATCTTTCACTGGTAAAAAAAAAACACTTTGGTAATCTATTTTTCGTGCAAAAAATAGACGTTTCTGTCATGTTTTGATGAAAAATCGTATTATTTCACGTGTGAGAAAAGGGTAGTTTTTCTAAAACATCTGACCAGTAATCTTTGGGAAGTAGCTAGAGAAATCTTTTCATACAGATTTTGATGCATCTTTATCTATTCTTTCTAACGGTGAAAGCTGCAGCTCTCTATTTTGTTCCCATAAAAAAAATACTCACCCACCCTTTTTTTTTGAAATGAACAGTAGTTATGTTAATTCTTGAAGAAGAATCAAAAGAAACTAGAGAATACTTTATTCAAGACAAGAACGAATGTGAATATAAGGTTGTATATGATGTTGATAGAAAAAACCGATAACAGCTTTGACATTTGAAATATGAATCGAAACTATATTTTTTTTGCAAGAGCGCATATACGCGATATTTTACAAAATCTAATCAAATAAAAATAAAAAAGTAATCAAAAATAATCAATGTTTATAAAATTGTTTTTTTTTTGTCGTCATCATTTGCACTATTATTTATTATCACTTTGAATTGCTTGATTGGAATTAGAAGACATTGCTTCTTCATAGGCCTGTTTAAATCCTTCTCGACTTCTTTCAATCATATCTTCATTTGCAGTTAATGATATACGAAAATATCCTGGTATTGCTAATACTGCACCAGGTAAACATAAAACATTATATTTTGATAATAAACGACAAAATGCTTGATCATCTTCTAAAGGTGATTTAATAAGTATATAAAATGTACCTTCTGGTTTTACTGGTATTTCATATCCAATTGATAATAATATATCTAATACTGAATTTAATTTCTTTTCTAAATTTTCTATATCAATACTAATTGATAATTTTTCAATATCTTGTACCAAATATTGTGTAACACAATCAGGTACTTGAAATCCATTTACAATAAGTGTTTGAGGTAAATATTTTTGAAATAATAAACGATAATTTAAAGGTACTTTTTCTGATAATGCAATATATCCTAATCGAATACCTGGATTTAATAATGTTTTAGCATAAGTATAACATAAAAATGTATATGGATAAAATTCAGCTGGAGAATAAAATTTATTATTATTAAATAGAATATTATTATATGCTTCATCAGATACTAACCAAATCGGTTGAGCTTGTTGACCATATTTTTGTTGACGTCTTTCATATTCTTCTAATAAAATATTTGATAATAATTCTAATGTTGTTGATGAATAAATTTTTCCTGTTGGATTATGTGGGGTATTGATAATTAATATTTTTGTTCGATCACTAATTTTATTTTTAATTTCATCGAGATTTAAATCAAATGTATTTAGATTAATATTAACTTCAATGGATATACCTTGACATGAAATAATCATTGCTTCATAACAAAACCATGCTGGAATAGGAAAAATGACTTCATCATTTGGATTTAATAACATAGATATACATGTATAAAGTCCACCGAAATTTCCTTTAACTAAATAAATATCTTCGGATTGAAATGATAATGGTGAAAATCTTTTTGATAGATTCAATGCAACGATTTGACGAGAAGGTTCCGTATTAGGATTTGTTGCCATACAATAACCATACCACCCAACATTTAATGGTTCAATATATTTATGAAATGAAGATAAAAATGTGGGTAATGCCATATTATGTGGATTACCAAATGTAAAATCACATAAAGTAGATAATGATGATGATTCTTTATGCGCAGAAAGAATTTTTCCATATTCATTTTGAACGAATACTCCAATTCGTTGATAATGTGAAGAATTTATTCCTGATAAGATTCGTTGTGATAATATTAATTCATCATTTTGAATGTTAGTAGTGTCCATTGTTTATTCAGTACTTTGAAATGGTAAGTTAATCGTGTTTTTTTCTATCTTATATAGAAGAAAGAAAATAATAAGGTGAAAACAAGAACAACAGAACGATAAAAGAGCATTGGGGTTATGTAACCCTATCTTTTTCGTTTCTTTTCAATTTTTATCATCGATGTTCTCTTTACAAACGAGTTTAATGAGAAAGAGATAAGCATACATATAGGTATTTTATGATACAATATTTGTTTATTTTCTATACGCTTATATCTATACAGAAAGCAAATATACGACCAATCAATAAAGAGAAAGTGAGTCAGGTATATACGACAATCCTTTCCTTTTAACAAAACAGAACGCATGTGACATCTAGAAAGAAAAGAAGAGAATTAAATGTTATTACAACATGCTTGTAGTACAGATAATATAAAATGAATAATACGCATTGATCGATAAATGGATATTTTATTAATGAATTCACATATGTTAATGTTGTTTATGTTTAATGATAAATGTTTGATTAAAATGCAATACATTCTAAGATATCGTATATATATAAGTTCAATAGTTCTTTTGAGAATTCATAATGTATGAAACTCAGATAATTATTATGTTTATGTAAAGTAATGTCTGATGAGTTATCGATTAGATAAAATTCTTCACTTTTTAATCATACATTTGTTCATTTATGCATACGCTATTGGTTTTTCTAATGAGTTTTTACGTTGCAGTAAACGTTTATCCTAATGCTTTTCTTTTTTCCTTCTAATTATTGAAAACGAAACCATACAAGTTCGCTATAGATAATTAATCGGTAAATGAAAGACATGCAAATGTAAAAATAGATCAGAATGTTTAAGGATGATGAAATTGTTGAATCTCGTCCATACTAGGGAGAATTTCTATATTATTATCGTGAAGGATGTGGTGTTGATAACAGTAGTAAGTTTTAACTAAAAATCTTCTTTATAACTTTAGTTATATACACGTACTCATACATCCTCAAGATTTTAAATTGGAAGTACGTCTTCTTTCACTTGTTTATTAACTACAAACAAAAGTTAGTACATAATTAAGACTCATTATTTTAATTATTTGTTTGTAATAATGATAATTCTTCCTGTTCCTTATTCCATTGAGCAATACTAGCATGAAGAGCATCCCAATCGATTATTGTTGGAAAGACGATTGGTTGTACCTGACATGGTGGAAATACACATATAAATGACATTCCACCGGGGCCAGTCAAACCACTCAGATCAATTGGTCCACGACGCATACGATCATGATGAGGAAATGCTGTTGATAACCCAACAACAGCTACTATAACGCAAATAATTGCAAAGATGAAACGCATATTGGAAGGTGAAGAGAAATAGAAAAAATGTATTAATGAATATGATTGAAGCGAGAGAACTGAAATCGAAAGATTATAAAGATATACACAAATACGTGTGTGACTTCAACCAGATGTCAGAAAGAAAACAATACAAGTTATAAACCTTATTAAAATCGTGATTTAAAATGTATATTTTCTGTTTCAATGCTTTTAATTTCTGATTATCAACAACAAAATATTGTTTATCATTTGATAAAAATCAAATCTGATTTTTTTTCTCATAAAAGAAACATTTTAATATTCGTACTGAAGGTATACATGTAGCGATGAATGACGCAGGACGTGGGTGTACGATGACTAAATTCAGAAGAAAATCATTCGTGTTATCTTCATCTACGTCAGATTATTACTGCTATGACTATATTTGATTCTTTTACTTCTAGATGTTTTAACTAAATCTGTAAATTCAAATGGAACAATCATAATGCATTGATAATTAATCAAAAGTGTGATAGAAAGAAAGATTCAGACAAGTATAATTATTTATGAAACAGATTTTAACACTGAATTTGTGCAATCTATTCGTCACGACAAACGATGTTGACATTTTTCTAATAAAAATGGCAAAACATAATAAAGTATCTATTCATTATGAAATGGAATACTGACAATTCCTTTCCATTTATTTAATGTGAATAATCTTTGACGTCAATTGGCTAGACATCTTTTTTTTTATTAGAACTATGAAAAAAAGAAAAGCTTTGTTTATTTTCAGGGCATTATAATATTAACGTCTACAACTATCGACATACATATATTTCTTGCAAGAAAATATTTGAATTATTCTATTTTCATTTCTAATTTAATGATCAAAAAGAATTTGTTTTGATTCTTGTGACGAAAATGCATCAAGATTATTTTTAAGCTGAGGACCAGAATAATGTAATTGTAGAAAATGTCTTCCTGAATAGAATTGCAATTTATATATCTCAAAGATTTTTTTGCATGATTAATTCGAGCATATCCAGATTTATGCATTAGATTCTATTGAAAATCTGAGATCGATATATGTATGTACATATGAAGTACTTTTTTATGAGACCTATAGTCAACACCTATCATTTGCTAAGAGTAGTGTTCATTATAATCAAGATAATTTCCATTCTCTCTGGTTATCGGATTATTCTTGTCAACTTTTTCTTTGATGAAATTTTTAGAATGAATATGATAGCGTACTTTTGTTTTCTATACAAAAGAAAAACTGTCAAAACTGAATCAGTCAAGTAAAACATATTACATTTTGTTCTGCAAAAATCGATTACTATGTCTGCAGCCTATAATTATATCTTATCATTAGCTAACGCTAATGTTAATCTCTACAAAATTGGTGGACCAATTTTAATAAGTGTAGGTACTGTAAGTTGTATAATTAATCTGAAAGTTTTCAGTAAAAAAACTTTACGTAAAAATCCATGTTCAATCTACTTAATAGCATGTAATGTTACTAATTTTCTATTAATCTACACATCAATATTAATCGCGACATTGGGAACTGGTTATAGTATCGATCCTAGTGCACACAATTGGATCGTATGTCGTTTGCGTTACTATATAACGTTAGTGTGCGATGTATTAAATCCATCGTATTTAATACTTGCTGCTTTTGATCGAATATTAGTTACTTCACGAAATGCTCTAACAAGACAACACATTCACTTATCATCAAAGCACTTCTTATTCCTATATTAATGGTAGTTTTAGGTTTGTGGACTGTGAAAAATGTACGAAGTATGAATCATGTTACTGCTGTTGTTAATGCATCGACAAGTGTTGGAGTAACAATTCCTGGTGGTGTACGTACGGCTCATTCAAAAGATCGGCAATTAATTAAAATTCTGCTTGTTGATACTTCAATTTATATTTTTTTCAATACAATGATATCAATTATTCTTATATATCAACAAATTATGCAAAATCAATCTCAGAGCTATGCTCAGCTTTATTTACAAGGTTTTCTCACGAGTGTGAGCGTCTTTAGTGCTTTCATTCCATTTTGTATTGGTTGTTATACTAATTTATGGGTATCAAAAACATTTCGACAAGAAGTGAAAAATACTCTTACGTGCAAATAACTGTACTATTTGCATGAACATGGTTAATATCGACCCTTTCAATTGTTATATCTATACTTTAATGTTGTATCGAGAATTTATGAGAATCTTAGTACTCAACTAAACTACACCCTCTTCTATATTAATACTTTCTATTCGATATTTCATTTATTTATCGAATGAGCAGTATTTAATCCGTAATTATTTTTATTCACCTTATAAATATTTTAACCTTGTTTATTCTGAAAAAAACTTTATTGCACTACAAATTGCACATCATGATTTACGTAAAAGTTATGCAGAATATGAACGAGACTATCATAGTGAATGCCTCAGGTATTAGACTTGCATTCTCACTCTCAACATTTACCGATAATATAAGACGAATTATACAATGGAATTCTTTGAATATGTTACGGAAAAAATACTTTATTATCATTTCGACTGAATTGTAATATTCAGAATTCTTTCATAGTGTTATTAAGTCATTAGAGTCCTGCACGGGTGCACTTTTTTTTGTACCCGAAACCGAACCGGTAGTTTTTTTACGCCCGGGCCCGACCCGACCCGGCTAGTAATGCACCCGGATCCGAACCGGTCTACTCAGTTATTTTTCAAAATATGATCAAATTTCTAAACTTTTATTTAATTCAATAAATATAATACGTTTAGTTTCGTTCATAAGTAACAAAGAAAAATATATACTATGTAAAATTACGTAAAAAAACAAATGAATCAGAAGTTAGCTGAAGATGTGGATCTTGCTCTTATGTCACATCCACGCACACATACAAGTCCACACCTACACTCACCCACACCCACCCACACCCTCAAGATATTTTTATTAAAACAGAATTTTTTTTAAAGTGGATCTAAAAGAGAATAAACGCACTAAACTAATCGAAATTGGTTAACTAAAAATATGAGTTTATTGAGATTGAGATCTTTTAGTTCATTCTGTCTTGTTGACAGAAACTGGTGGCTTTTGCTTTCGAGATTTGACAGTCATTTTACGAATAATTAATACGGCCCAATAAAGATTAAGTAATCTTGTAAGAAAAATTAAAATAATTTGTATTATGATCAGCACTATACTAGTTGTATCATCGTAGTTCGCAGCCATTTGAATAAATTGAGGTACTGCTCTAAAGATATACGCACATATGATTGTTCCATAGACGAGACGACTTAAAATAAATGTAATCGCAAATAACGAAGCAAAAAAATCATGTATACTATGTCGATGATGATAGATTACTTTTAGATTAAGTGGAATAGTTGAAAGTTCTTCAGCAAGCATCAGAAAATGACTTGTATGACCAACACGTGTGTATACACCTATTAATCATATATGAATTTATTTATCATTAGTAGTAATAATAAAAATTTTATTTTATTTTACTAACCTGAGACTCCAATTATGAGAACGACAGTATGATGAAATATTGCTGCTTGACTTCTAACCGATTTGAAACAGAGCATAATGAGTAGATCACATATGAAATAACCTGCTGAATAACATATACTGTACGCCATATTTTCATAATGTGTACCTTTGTCACCTCCACCTAATATACGATTTACTTGTGTAAAATTAATTGATGAACGTAAGTAAAATATGGATACGGCAAGAACAGATACACAAGCATGAATTGTCGACAAAATATAACTTTTAATCAATGGTGTTATTGATGATGGAAGAAGATAGAAAATCAGAGAGTGACCAATAATAGAGATGAAAATTAACGATGATATTGGAAAGTCTGATGAAGGATTTGATCCAAGATCTATATATACACATAGTTATATCAAATACATTTAAATAGAAAAAAAATAACAAAGCTAATTGCATAATCTTTATAAAATTTAAGTTAAAAAAATTAGGAAGTAAATTTTCATTTTGACAAACTTTAATACTTACATTGAATATGATCATCTTTCTCAGTCAGCATCGTTATAAGTTACCAAAAAATGCGTGTGAATTTTGTTTTACTGTAAAACTACAGGCACGTGTTGCCTACTACTCAACGAAACGGCAATGACGAGTAAAATAAACAGAGAAACAGAACCAAGCAACGTGTTCTGTGTTGCATGAAATGCACGACGAAGGTAATTTCATTGGTTATTACTTATAAGTAATTGTATTGTGATTCATTCAGATGGCGTATATGTGAATATATCAGGACTAGAATACAGATCCGTAAACCTTCTTTCAAATTGACAATTAATTGTACATTAAGATAACAATAAATCGTTTGCTTTTAAACAAATAAATTTACGTTGATTACTTGTTTGTTCTACATACATTCTCATTAGTAAAATCGTTAAAAATCAATTAAGTTTATTATACTTAAATTTCTTTTTATTTATGTTCATAAGTGAGAAGCCACTATCTTGAGGGTGGGTGTGAGTGTATGGTGTTAATGGATGCAGGTATGGGTGTCGGTAAATAATGCATTGATTACCCAAACCCGCACCTACACCCACCCTAGCCTTTATTAGCACTTCGAGAATGTATGAAAAAATAAGTTCGTTTATTTTAAATATAATTATAACTAAAATGACGACTTTCATGTCAAAACCGTTACTAAACAGGCAAAAATAAATTTTTATCTCAATTAGAAATTATAATTGATATGACAACCCTCGTAAAAAATAGCCAAGAATTTTATTTTGTTGGTTTATAATAAAATATTAAAGATCAGAAAGAAAAATTGTGTTCTACTCTTTCGTATTACAGTCGAGAATAAAACAAGATCATCTGTACTTGAATATCCATAGAACAAGTAACGCTCGTTCAAGAACTCTACTGGGAAAACAATTGAAAACCGTGAAAAATCGGTCTTCGATGTTTTTCTGACCTATGCCCTCTCTTTACCCCCTCCCCCTCACCATAGTCACCCAACAAACCTTAGATTCGAAGTCTCCGCATCAAAATAACTCTAGAAATGTCTTTTTCGAAAAATTAATTTTCGATGTTTCTTTGACCCAGCGAACAGACAAGCAAACAATTTATTTCTGCTGGACTCTTCTCTACGAAAAAGAGAATAACATATATTCATTTTCCTCTTTAGAAGTGATGAAGGCTTTTTTTTAATTGTCTTTTTTATACTGTGTTTGGCGGATGAATGAAAGTTGACTACTGAAAGAACGAGCAATAAGAAAAACAACGCAACATATAGATGAGATTTATTGAATAAGTAAAAAAATTATAATGAAATAAATATAAGTTAAGATAAAACTCATTAATAGTCTTTTACGACATTCATTCTTTTAGTTTCTGGAGATTATTCTCTTTGTATGTGTGTTATATCAGTATGAATAACATTGTATTCCTCGAGACATACTGTTTTTGTATTCATTAAGTATGACTAATTAAAGTAAATTTAAAAGTATTAATACCTTTCATATTTAATCTTATTGTAATGAATTCATATCTCTGTGATTATTATCGTTATCTATACGTTTCTTTTCTTTTTTTTCTTGTGCTCATCTTTCATAATACTTAATTTTCCTGTTTCCGTCTATTAACACGTGGGTGTATGGATGTTGGTAAATAATACACTGCTTAGCCACATTCACACCCACTTATATACACGACAAACGTGAAAGATTAAAAAATTTTGTTTTATTAAAATGTTGATTGTTGCCTTTAGTATGTAAATATCATGTATGAGTAATATTATGTTTTAAAGATTTCTGCTATATGAAGATGAATAATAAACTCATCTTTAAAGGTGAAATTAAACGTGAATGTAAGGAAAGAACAGAAAAGTACGAGTTCGGGCAACTCAAGCCGTCATTAAAGGATGAAAAAGGTTAAAGTGCGAGACAGAAGTACGAAGAGTGCGACAAAACTTTGATATTTAACGCCATGTTAGTTTCCTTCATAAGCGAAAGTATATATTGGAGTAGAAAGATTTCAGTATCGAATAGACATACGTGGTTGTGTTTAGTGTATAAAAAAAATATTTATCAACGACAATTTTACTTTCTTATATTTCAATACAACTGGCTTATTCTAATATTATTAATGCATCTTTAATCATCATCGTTATTCATAGGTAATAGTTAATACGATTTATTTTTATTATTAAATAGATAATTAATTATGAATAGAATTTTTGTATGATAGAATATATCTTCAATTATTTTAACTGGAAAGAAAAAAAATGGATGAATTAATATTAACATGTATACAAAATTTTAATGAAGAAAGTAAGATGATAATTATGAGATATTTAATATTATTCATTGAGTCATCGTGAAGAAAAAGAGAACACGTAAGAAAATAGAAAGGCTTATGTTGTCATCAACACAGATAAATCATATGATTATTGCTTGTGAAAAAAAAGAAATAAGATATAAGAACTTTTGACGGATATTTATTTAAATCTAGGTAACTATACATAGTTATTATGTATTTTAATCAACTTTTGACTACAATCGTGTATATTCTACCTGAATAGATTAATTCGAATAAGTTTTACATATTTTTATTTTATTTAAGATTAATATACAGTTTTCTATTATTTACTCGTCTTTCTACTGACAACGTTTTTCATTAAAGTGAAGATGAACCTGATTACGAATGAAGAATCATTCTTTGACTATCGAACTGCACAACATAAGATATTTGGAATTCAAAAGACCGTGTGCTTTGATTGCAAGATGAAAATCATTAAAAGCATATGGAATGGAAATTTCGATATGAATCAAAATGGAGTATTAATGACTTTGAAGATCAACCTCGCTCGCACAAAGCAAGAGAATGTTTCTACTATTGTTATGTCACATAAACATATCTTTGTCAAATTGATTACGGATTACATTAAAAAAACCGCTGCGATTTGTATGACTTATCCGAGTGCGTTCACAAAATACCAAGATGAATTTTTAATTTATGAACATATATCATGCAATGTGTTGAATCAATTTAAAGCTATCGTTGAATATATTGATTATTTAAAAGTATTGATCTCAACGTATGTAATCGATAAAAATGTATTCAAGCAAAATCTTCAAATTTTCGATATGTTAGAACAAAGCCAAATTATCGTCGAGAAAGATAAAGAATGTGTTACAAAGTTGAAAATGTATTTTTTACTTTTACGAGCATTCGATGGACAAACAAATGTTTTCAATGATATTGTCAATCTCTTACCGAGATTTCAAAAGATAGGTATCAATACTTTATGGCTTAGTCCACCTCAACCACAAACAGCAGCAGCTCCTCCTATGTTTGCTTTAAATGATCATGGATATTGGCCAAGTGATCATGGAAAAATTGATCCTATTTTAGGTGGAGAAATTGCATTCGAACACTTAATTAAAGAAGCACATAGATATGGAATTGAAATTGCTATTGATGCAGTTCTTAACCATTTCGGTTATGCTGATGAAGTGATTTTAAATGGTGAAAAAATTTTCACTTCAAATCCGAATTATTTTGTAATTATTCCTAATATTCAATCAACATATAATCGTCACAATGAATTAAATTGGAAAATTGAAGAAAGTTTAGATGTAGAAAATATTCTACAATATCGTGAAGAATTATCTCAATATCCATTATTCGATTTACCAACACTTCGTAAAGATAATTCCCACATTCGAACTTATTTATTGGATAGTTATAAGAAATTTATTGATATGAAAATTACAACGTTTAGAATTGATGCTGCAAAACATATGCCTGCTGAATTTCTCATCGACTTTTCTGATCAACTAAATAATTATTCATTGATGCAATGGAATCGTCCAATTAAATTTATTTGGGAAGTTTATATATGTAATTCTCATGCTCTTTCAAAATTCATACAAGGAACTCTTGAAAGTCTTAAAGATTCATCCAATACATTTTTCTATGATTTCCCAATGCGTCAGGAATTTAAACGAATTCAAGATTCGAATTATCGATTTGAATGGCTTGTTAGTTTTATTCAACATCGTGAACAAACTCAACAATATCTCAATCATCTAATTCCTTTAGTTGAAGATCATGATGATGGTTTGCCCATCAATAATCCTTCCATTGCTCGAATGATATATGTATTGACTGAATTCTATAGTCGAAACTCAACATTTATCTATCATGGTTCTGAACAAACAGGAATTCGGACAGTTAATCGACCACGAATCAATACGATTAATGAATTTGGTGATATCGCACTTTTAGTTGATCGACTTGGACATCAATTATTGTCTTATCGAATTTGTCAAGAAACACAAACACTATTTCATGTGATTGAACAAGATTTTCTTATCAGTGAAAAACAGTTAACAAATAAACGATCTATATTTTTGGCTATGAATAAAAGTTCAATTTCACGAACGATTGAACTTTCTCTGCAAGATTTATATGGTAAAAGTCAAATAACAATTGAAAATATTCTGGAAGCTAATGATTCAAAAGCTGAACTTATTTCTTCTTCCAAAATACTTCGACTGACAGTTTCACCGTTCAATTTCTTAATTATTGAAACTCAACCAGTCGTGCAGTAGTTTGTAAATAAAAATACATCTCATCATATCATAGTAATTCCAGGACGAATATGTGTGCACATGAATTGCAATGTTACATAGATAATACTTCGATCTGAATTCATCCTCTTGTGGGTATAAATAAAACACACCCATACCCACACCCTATAATAATTTTTGTATTCATAGAGAAATTCAACATCATTAGAAGATTTTTATTTCAAAAACTTTGATCTATCGTTTAAATAATTTTTTTTCCATAATAAAAAATGGTGTTTCAAAAAAAATCGAAACTAAAACAGCTGTAGTATAACTAAAAAATATATGTGAAATAAAGTTATTTATCGCAAGATATCCTTGATAGTAGAAAGGCATAGTTTGATTGAATATAATAATATGAAGTATTGTAGAATGAACTAAATAACATGAATAATTAATTCGAGCTAATGAAGTCCAAATAGGCCAGGAAAGAATTTGAGTTACTATCCCATCTTGATTTATACTGCAGATAAATAAAAGCCACCCAATACCAATTGACCAGAGTGTTCGTGAAAGTGACATATAGACAACAGTGATTGATCGACTTAGACCAGATACGCGAATGCTATCAGAATTAGTCACCAAAAGCCACATAAAACCAATGACAATAATTAGAATAGTCACAATAATTTTATTGCGTCTATTAATATGATATTCACGACCAGTAATTATAACAATATATCCAGTTAGAAGTCCGACAGCGTATGCAGATATACGACACCATGGTTTAATATAAATATTATTATAGAAACTGGGACCATCCTATAACAAAAAAGATAATAGGGATGATCAACATTGTTCACTAAGAAAAACTTACATTATTAGTTTCAGTAGTTAGAGTATTGAGTATCATATTTGGATAATAAAGAAGAATAGTTAAAATTGATCCAATTCCAATCAAAACAAAAACTATAGCAACTACAAATGATAAAGTTCTTCTTCCAAGTGCAAATGGAATTAAAGTTAATGGTGCAATCCAATGAAATTGCATATCATTATGTAGATACCATGCAATATTTAAACACATCTCATCCGGTCGTACTATATTACCTACATAAAGAATCGATGTCCACCATGATCGTGTACGACAACCTTTCGATTCAAATCCTTGTTCAATAGGATATATTGGTCCTTGTCCAAAATAGGGTGTTAAATTTATACTAACTAGAATCATTAGAAGAAATGCTGGTGTTAATCGAATATATCGATGAATATAATAAAGATACATTAAACGAACTGAAAGTTTTCCTTCTTTTTTCACTTGACGAATAAATAAAATTGCCGTTAAGAAACCACTTAGAACAAAAAATGTATCAACACTACAATGAGCACTTAAGATTAATTGAAATGCGAAAGTACGTGACGAAACGAGAATATCTATTATATTACTTGTATAACATAAATTAAAAAGTAATGAATGACCAATAATGATCCAACATAAAGATAATACTCGAATACCATTAATAAATAAAAATGAATCATTTGTATCATCATTAGTTTTCTGTTCCAATGTAAATATTCGACGAAGTGATTTTAATGCAGAAAATTCAGCTAAAAATAGTATCTTCGATATTCGATGTGTTTCAGACTGAGTAGTTATTTCATTATCATCATCCACTAAATAATTATATGTATTATTAGATATTATTCGATTATGAACTATATTAAATTTCAACATGGAAATAAAATCAATGATTGTTCCAACAAGAACAAGTAAACCTAAAAGTGAAAGAATAACAATCGTTGCTATTGCTCCATTTGTAAGATCTTTTTGTCCATTTGGTAGATCATTCGAACAAACAAGATTTTCTTGAGTAATACTAAGGTTTTTGAAAAGTGTATGAATCAAAGAAACAAGTGTTTGTCGATCACATGATGATGGAACACAAAGACCAAGAACAAGAGATGCCATGGAGCTTGATCTGGATTGAGATGCTGTTGGTGTAAGAGTACCTAAAATAGACGTTTAAATGTATTGTACAATACGACGAATATATATATATACAATGTTGTGTATTGAATGGTTGGGATACGAAAGATTGATTTGCTGGATTATATATAGGCTGTATACATTCATCGTAGTTACCTATCCAATACATGTTACCTTTGAGAATACCAGAAGGTAATGGTTTTCCCCAAGCATCGAGTATTTTGAGTGCCCACATCTCTTTTTCTACTGCTGCTCGAAGAATTAATTCGATATCTTGTTCACACGGGCTAGTATTGTTATTCGATAATAATAAAGACATATGTTCTAGCATTTGTTTAGGTGTAGGATTGTATTCTACATCTTTAAGCAGATCAATGGGTGAGAAATATTGATATTGACGTAAACGATTAATTGCTAAATCAAATTGTGGTGGAATAAATTGAGAATTTATATTCCATAGCACAGAAAATAACAGAAATAATGTAATAGTCAACATCGTAATTTTGTTATAAACTCTTGACTAGAACGTTATATTATATATACAATAATAGCAGTGCTGGTTCAGATGGTATGAAAACAAAACGACATTTTTACCATTTGTATAAATGATCGATACTTGTTTCTTTTCTTTAGAAAATAATCTGATCATGTGTTGCTGTTGTGCGCACTTTAAGTTCACGCGCACTTTGAGTATGCACGCACTTTTGTAACGGAAAGAGACAGAAAGAAAGAAAAGTGCGTATATGAATCATAGTCGATTTCAACTAGGTATCTCATTTATGAAACTAAAACGTTCGAAATACTCAAGAATACTCGTTGAATATTAAAAATAACAAAACTTTGTGAAGGAAAAAGATTGTTCAGTAATTCTTTATCTTATCTTAAATTAGAAATACATAACAACATTGCTTTTCATTCAGATTTTTCTTCTATATTATTAAAATAACGAATCAAATGATAATTTTGTTCAGGATGTGCGTGTGAATATTAAGAAAGCCACACTACTGACGTACTGTCGCACATGCGTCCTCGCCATGCGTACTATTTTAATAAGTATGAGTCATCCATCTCCTTTTTAAAACCAACAAACGTTATGGCATGTATTTTTGAAAGATTGAAAAAACAAAATTTAGCTACTAAAAAAACATTTTCTTGCATTCTATTGTTTTACTCTTGTCAACAATATACAGTCTATAATGAACAAAAGCATCACAACAAGTAGATATATGACCAGTTACATTATAGTCAAACAACTATTCTAATCGAATATTATGAAATGCATAATACTGATTTGATAATTGGCAGTAATTCATCTGTATTGTCTGGTGATAATACTCGTAATATATTATTTTGTATTTCTTCCTGAACTGTTTGCAATGAGATGATATCATTAATAAGTTCACTAAATAAACTAATTGCTTTTTCATATCCATACACTGTTTCCATATATTTCCATAATAATTCTGTGTAATAATTATGTGCACGATATACAGACATTGTATCATTAAGTATTTTTTCATCTTGAGGATTTGTTGTTGAAATTCCTTTTGTAAACATAAGTACAATAAGTGCTAATTCGATGATTTTTCTATCATATTTTACAAGATGTAAAAATGAAAGAAAGACCTTTTTTGATTGTTTAAATGTATTATAACCATGAAGTACTGAATAGAATTCTATATTATCTTGCACATCAGAACTACTTTCAATGAATTCATGAGTGTCTGGGCTGTATGACAGCGCACGATTTACACTAAGAACTGTTCGAATATTGTATTTAATCAAAGTAACTTTATCATCAATATTTAGTTGATCAAATTCCGGTATTTGTTTGAAGAATGATAAAAGTCGCATCACTGGCACGGAGTGACTATTGAGAACGTCTATAAAAGTTCTTGAATACATTGATGGATCCCATGGGAGACCATCGCGAGCTGCTAAAATGTAAACATACAAAAAGAAAAAGATCAACGAAAATATTTGCTTACCTAGTTCGATACGTTTTTGATAACAACATGATACAGCTTCTATACGTTGCAAATCATTCGAATTGAGTAATGTCTGTTGTGACTGAGGCGATAGAAAATCAGTAAAATCTGTGAGAAGAATATCTGTGTCTATCGATGGTAATAACTGAGGATAACATAAGAATAGACAAATAAAATAATACGTTTTTTAAAAATATTCTTACATCGATTAACAATGGAGGTGTTGAAAGCTGAAGTTCTTCGTTTGTTAACAAATTTGAACTCAATGCTAACTTTCTATTTTCTTCTATTTGACGACGTTTTTCTGCTTTTTGTTCGACCTAGAATTTAATTTTGTAAAAGATCTTAATTTTCTTTTACTTTATTAATACCGTCAATAGTCGATCACATTGCATTCCACTATTAAAACATTTGGCTAAACGACAGGCTGAACAAAAACGACGTGTTTCAACTGTTATTCTGCAATCACCTTTACCATCACAATGGAAAGCAGTCTAAATAGAAAAGGTATTATCATTCTGGTAACTGTTAAAAGTATATATCAAAGTTGCATTGAGATTCAAGGAGAAGGCCAAATTAGATCCAATGTGAACAATTTTCTCTTTATCTAAGCAGCATAAATATGATGTACTTATTTTTTTAAACTTACTGGCGCTTTTCGAGCATGACGACGAAAAAAGGCTTTACAACCTTCACATGTGATCGCACCAAAATTGTATCCATGTGCTGATGATCCACAAATGACACAAACCAAAGAAACATCCTTGGGTCTATTCTTCTTATTTGATGATTGTACCTTGTTCTGAAGATAATACATTCTTTTTGTTTTCTTTAACAGAATAATTGAATACTAACATGTTGAACAGATTTTTCACTATTGTCATTTTCAGATGGAAGAATAATCTGGTCGAGAAATGATATATTGTTACTTTTTTTAATTTGATCAATCACACTTTCATCGGCAGTAATAATCATTATTCGTTGTCGTTTTTGACCTGTTCCTAGCAATTCGACTGAGGACATGATTGAGAATATTGTTTTTAGTTTTCTGAAATGATTTGATTTTCTTCATATAAAATATGTGTAAAATCAAATGGTATAATTACTTTCCTGAAAAAACTTCTTTTTCAGTATAAACAACGGTTACATATAAAATTTAGCTTTTGTTCTTCTCGACAGTATATATGAGTTATATATGTGACTCATACAGGTGAGTCAATTGACCACAACTGGTAATATTGTTGGTTATTAGAAATTTTTGTAAGCGTATAACTTTAATATTTTTTTTAAATTTAATAAATCATCTGCGTTTATTTTTAAACTTATAAAAAGAAAAACATAATATGGTGCAGAAAAGGAAAATTTTTGACAGATGGCAACTTATTTTTTCTTTCTAGCAATATAAAACTACATTGATATTTTATTTCAATGTATAAAATATAACACTAAATTTATTTAATTTCATTATTATTGTAAGTTCACAAAAATAAAATATACTTACATGTTTTGAAAGAATTTTCTTTAACTAAATCCTATCATAACATTACAACGATTATCATTAAGGACATTGTCACACATATTAACGTTCTTTTTATTTGAATGGGCTGTTTTTCTGTTATTCATAACAAAAAGCAAAAATGTAAAAGAAGAAAATAAAACAGTGTCACCTACGTTCCGTCGAGCATACATACAGAACGGAAAATATGATAAGAAGAAATGTGAGTAAGCAGAAAGAAAGTATGCAAGAAAAAATACAACCGTTCTGTATTACTACTACGTCAATTTGCATAGAATGAAGACTGATGTGTATATTTTTCTTCAGTTTTTTTAATCAAATTAGTTTTCTTATGTGGTGACATATATAGATATTATATTCTTCGTTTTTTTCTTTTCAAGACGTTTGTTCAAATGAAAGTGAGCATTGAAAAACGTATTGTTCGAAATTTATTTTAGAATGATTCAGATTTGGTAAGTCTTTGTTGGTTCGATTTACTGAAAGAGCTTGAAGTACCATCAAGATAAAATGTCGTCCTTGAATCTAATAAAGGATTTATTTCTTATCAAAATGAAATGAAAATCCGACCTCGAACAGTGCTATTTTACCTTCGTTATACGACGTTTTCTAGCAGTGTCGGAACTATAAATTCATACAACTGAATTTTTGGAGAGCCTGCAAGAGAAGAAAATCAATACAGGTCTCGGTAATGATTGATTTAGCATTTTGAAATTCAAGATGAGAATTGAGCACATCTTTATGAACGTGTTCAAGAAAAGTATCTACATTATTAGCATCAATCATCTTCAGAATGAGGGTAAAGAGAATTCAAATACTCACTTAAAAAAATATCTCTATATGAATATTTAATTATTTTTATTTTAACTAAAACTATATACAACACTTTCACTGAAGCAAATAAAAATGAATATTCAATATCAATCCTTGTCTTTTCTTGATAAATCAACACGTTTATCCACTGATGAAGCTCGTTTGCTTTTAATACTACGAGGAAATGATACTGGTTGTAACTTTTTTGTCCATGACGAATTCCGACGGTGTTCATATTCTACTTTGATTTTTTCAAATTCATCAATAATACTTTGACATGTTTTCGGATGAAAACCTGAAATATTTGCCGCAGTTTTCGCAATTGAAGAAAATTCTTTATCAGTTGCATCCTGTATTTCTTCATTATTTACAGTTGATAACGACGAAGTAACATCAAAAATTCCGGATGGTAGACGTCTTCCTTCTCTTTGATAAGTTTCTACAACATTTCTTACACTAGCATAAATACCTCGGCTGAGCCAGGTAAGAGATGAAAGAATACTAGAGCTAGGTTTTATCCCCATGTTTATTGCACCTATGACTGATCCTGCTGCACCACCAAGTATACCATGACGTTTATAACCAGTGCGTGGTTGTGTTATCATGCCTGTAAAACCCTCTTTCCAACCATACCATAAGGTTAAACCAGCTGCCTTTGCACCCGACTTAAAATCAATGACAACTGGACGTGGACGTGATTTTGAACTACGAATATGAAATAATATAGAAATTATTCGGAAAAGTATTACTAAATTCTCTTACCTATACGGATCATATAAATAAGGCACACGATCAAGTACATCGGTCAATTCACCATACATCGCGAAGGTTCCAATTGTTAAATGACCTATACCTAAACCAATACCTTTGGCAACAGTTCCAACATTTACAAGTGCTTTATTGTTTATACTATCAGTGCTGTTCGTTCGTTTCAAATCTGACGCAGTATCAAGAAACATTGTAGAAATAGCTTTATGAGAATGTTCCCATAAACCGTGCATCATTATATGAGTATGATTATCATGTTTAATTTGCCATTCTCGTGTAACATGTAAACGAAGTTGAGCTTCTTCTACGATGCCAGCTGATACTAATACTTGTGCTACTGGTCGTGATATCTGCATTCGATATTTATCCAAACGATAACATGCAGGAAATGTTGGTTCCAAATCGCTATGCATCCGTTTTAAGGGTAGATTTGCATGAAATGCACGTACTGCTGCTGCACATCCATCTTCTTGAAGAATAGAATCACGAAGAGATTTAGCAGCAATACATGTTGACGGTTTGTGAACAAAATGAAATGCTTGAATTAATTGATCTTTTGTAATCGACTTTCCTGGAACTGGGTGAGGGCCAGCACCATTCTTTGCAATTACAGTACCCCAAAAAAATTGATCTCCAAAAAATGGAACAATAATTGTTGGTTTACCAGCACGTAGACCAGCTGCAGTTGTACCTGCACCACCATGATGACATACAGCTGAAACTGAAAAAAGAAACCGCGATAAATGTGTATATTTTTAATCTATTAATTCATGAGGAAAATCGTCACTTACCATGTTGAAAAAGCCAATCATGTGGTACATTTCCAATTCTAAATATATTCGGAGGTAAATGATCTGCATCCGATGCAAGACCCGATAGGACAGCTCGATATCCTGTTTGAACAAGTGCATCGATTACAATTGTAAGAATACGACGAGAATCATGTCCTGCAATAGAACCAAAACCGATATAAATTGGTGGTGATAATTTTGATTGATTATGATTGTTATCATTGAGCTGAAGAAAATCGAGTAAATCTTGAGGTGGATTCGTATAAACGGTACCAAGATCCAAAAAGAAAAAGCCAGAAACATTGATATGTGTTCCCCAATCATCAGGTTTAGGAACAAGTGATGGTGACCAACAATAAGTATGTGGTACTCGTTCATCACTTAATAGGTTTATTGCTTGACTCGTATTTAAAGTTGAAAGACCCAATGTTTTCTTTCGAAAATTATTAAATATATCTCGCATACCTGTCCATGTCTAGAAAAACGAAATTGTTTTTTTTTTCTTATTTAAAATTTTTATTTTAATTTACCAGCATTTCAATAACATCATACGAATATCGATTAATTACTTTTCTTGATCCTGTTGAATTATCAATATTTGAACATGGATGTGGAAATGCTGCTGTAGATGTCCAAGGCATAGTGAATACGATATGTAAAGGAATTTGTAATTTTTCTGCACAATGAATATGACCAAATGATGGTGGATTAGCAATAATTGCTTCAGCTGTAAATGGCATATCTGTTTCATCATCATTTGCTATACATGCTTGCCATGTAGAAGCAAGAATATCAGATATAGTTCGACGTTTTTTGCCAACATCTCCTGCCATAATACTGTCCATTGAAGGAATAATACCGGCATTTTTCACCATAAATGAGATTAAATCTACTGGATCACCACCTAATGGATAAAATTCCAGACCATTACCACGAACAAATGATCGAAATGTTTCATGTGTGGCTAATCGAACACGATGACCATATGCTCGAAGTGCTTGACCTAGACTAAAATTTACGAAATTAGAGTTTTTACAAAATTTATAGAACACAATTTAACTTACGCAATAAATGGTTGAACATCACCGCGCGTACCAACAGTCAGTATTAAAATAGCTAAACGAGGTATAAGAAGATCATCTTTTGATTCTTCTCTATTTTCATTGATTTGTCTTTCATTCTGCTCGTATGGAACAAATTGTGGTGATGATGAAATTGATTTTAAAGGTGCTTTGGATTTCTTTTTGGATTTAAATAAAACACCAATACGTCCATTAGTATCATCAAGACTAATTGTATAATCCATAATTTCATTTTCATTTTGTTCTTGAGTTTTACTTCTGCTTGAAAATTCTTCACTAACGTTTACTTGTCCTGTTGCACAAATTATTTTACCATGTAAAATAAGACGAGCATGATGAGAAAGAGTAGAATTTGAACAAGAAATGACTAGAATATTTGTTTGAGTTTGTTCATCAATATTTTTACTATATAATAATTTTGAAGACAAGTCAATAGAATTAGTTAATGATGTGAATAAACCAGAAAATATTTTTGTATTATTTAACCATATAGTGCCAGCAATATCTGCTGAAATAGAGCTGTTATTTAGATTATCATAGGATTCAAACATAAGATGAACTTGTCTATTGGTCGATGTCCAATCGAATTGTTTGTAATACCACCATTTGTATGAATTTGTTTCTTTAAATTGACGTGATTGATTTATATTGATAATATGTGGTAAATCTATTAAAGACGAACAATGATTTATATCGCCATGATGTATAGCTGCAACCATATTTTCTTCATTCATTTCTTCATTCGCTTGTTGACAATAACATTTCCAATCATTATCAAATTCAATATTTGTTAAATCTTCTCTAGATGCTGCCATATTATCTGTCTCTTTTTTTTAATTAACCTTGAAAAAAAAATTAACTTTCTTATTAAAAATCTCTCTGTTGTCCTCATCGTTCTCTTTCCTTTTATACTATCACAACGCACCCGAACTTTGCTGTCGTTCTGTTCTTTTTCTTTTTTTACATCGACATTACAAGCCATATAGTATCTTATTTGCCGTCTAACAAACGTAGTCATGTAAAAAGAGAAGAAAAAAAGCCAATGATTCATCGAGA